GCATCAGATCGAGTACACCCGGGCTGCTGTTGCGCAGGTGTGCCCATGCCTCCACAGCGCCGGCGTTATCGGTGTGGAAGATCACTTTTTTCAGCCGGAGCTTTTGCCCCCAAACAAATATAGCGAGCTTGATGGGCACCATCTCCAGGTACTCTATTGAGAGTCCGGCTTGCAACACCCACTCCGGCCACCTGGACTGGAACCACTCATTGTTCAAGAATGCCCCCAATCCCAGCGTGGCAGACGCATCGGTGTAGAGGTGAAGCACATCGGAGGTGGTCCAGTCTGGCTGCAAGAAGGAGGCTGTCCCGTTCCACTGTGGCAGGAAGTCCCTCCACCAGTTAAGGTCGAGGCGGAAGTCCGTGCTGATGGCGATTTTGGGTTGGCCACGGAAGTCCGCAAGAGGAAACCGTATCATTCTGCGGGTAAACAGACGACTGGAAGGGACGCATTTGGAGGCAAATGTCAGCGTGCCAATTAAGCTCTGCAGCTCGGTAACTGTGCTGGTGGTTTTCTCCCGCCACACCTCGAGGGTGTTTAGGATTTCTGCTAATTTGCCGTCCGGCAGGCTCGGAGTCTGCGCGCACGAATCAAGCTCGATGCCGAGAAATGTCAGCCGAGTCGCGGGCCCTTCGGTCTTGTCGACTGCTAGGGGAACCCCGAGCTCGCTGCACACTTCCCGCATCGAAGTCATCAGAGACTGACACTGCGTACTCTTGGCGTTGCCAATAAATAAGTAATCGTCCACGTAGTGAAGAAGAGAGCGGATGCCGGCACGCCTTCGTACGCACCAGTGTACCGCAGTGGAGAAAAATTCAAATATGTACGGGGCTAAGCGGCAGCCAAACGGTAATACTACATCAAAGTAGTACCTACCGTTGAATTGGTAGCCGAGGAGGTTCCAATCCGCCTTCCTGACGGGATTTAGCCGGAATGCGGACTTGATGTCCATTTTCCCCATCAGCGCACCCCTACCAGCGATTGTCAGCAACTTGACTGCGTCGTCGACGGAGCAGTACTGGAGAGGCATTTCGCGGCCGTCTATGTGATCGTTCACACTTATTCCGGACGGCTGTGACAGGTCCAGAATCGTGCGGGTGCCTCCGTCCTTCTTCGGTCGGCACCCAAGCGCGTTTACCACGAAGCATGGCAGCGGAGCAGTGAAGAACGGTCCCACGGAGTGTCCCGCAGCGATCTCTTTGCTTATGTTCTGCTCCAAAGCGTCGTGGTGGATCCGTGCAGACAGGGAATTTCTGGTGTGACGTGTGAACTGGGGCCCCCTGTACCGGATGTCAGCACCAGTGCGCAGTGTCGTAGAGATGAAATGGCGCAAGCTGTCGTCTGGATGTTCGGCGAGCAGGCTTTCGAACGCTTCAGCACGCAGGGGCGTCTGAGCAATTGCAGGCACTGGCGTACACTCAACGAGAGTCAGACTTGCACTGCGGCGCCCGATGGTCTTTGTCGCGACACTTTGCGCAGACGTGCTGGCGTCCCTGGGCGCATGGCTCACTACATCGAAACTGGTTGTAGTTGCGGCAGACTTCGCCCCCCGCAGCTGGGGCAGGTCGAAAGGGCTGGCTGCGCCCCGCATGTCCTTTGTGTGGGTACGGGCACTGAGCGATGAATTGCCCGAGTTCCCCACAGTTGCGACATCCGTCCGTCGGGGCAGCGCCCTTCTTCGAACGCGGGTCCGCTGCAGTATCACTGGTGCCCTCCTCCGGGGCGGCATTCTGTATGTAATCCGCATACGTGTCGTCGTGCTGGCGGGCCCACATGTCGTGTTCGTGCGCATGACTGGTCATGAGGGAACGGAACTGCCGGTCGTATTCGAGCCAATGGGCGGTCGGGACCTCCCGCTCGACATACGCCGCAATTAGGTCTTGATATTTTGCCAGCGCGGTTGCCAGGTGTGGTGTTACCGAGACGCGGTAGGCCAAAAAGACGGAGAACGCACGGATCCAAGATGGGAAAGAGTCGACGACAGATCTGGTCTCGTTGGGCTTAAGTACCACGTTACCCTTCGAAATCACCATTTTGGAACCTCCATGCTTAGGCCTTTCCACTCGGTTTTTAGGCAGGAGGCAGTCAAAATCGACGTGGCGCGACGGATCGAGCAGTCGCCTACGAATCCGGCTTGGAACTGCAGGCAGATGCTTTGCTGGAGCGCTGTGCCGTTCTCCTGCGGACGTCGACGCGGTTTGGCCATGCCCTAGTTGTCGATGATGGGGGTGTAGGCCAAGGCGTTCAAAAACGTCGCGGCGGACCGGTGAGCGGCTGCGGGATGACGATGAGCGGCTACGGCTGCTGCTGCTGTGCTTACCTCTTCGACGGCGCCGTCTCCGTGATGAGCTTTCCTCCCGGTAACGCACATTTCGATTTCCGTCTGCCAGCGACTCGATCTCGAGGCCAGCGTCGCCGGTGGGAGGCGAAATGGCTCGAGGTTCTCCCGGTCCTTTGGCTGCTATCGGCGTTACTATGTCGATCAGCTGCTGTATCTTTTCGTTCTGGCGATCCATTAGCGTCTTCCAGTCGGGCTGCGCTTGGTCCACGACGACACTTTGGATCGAACAGTAGGAGCAGGCAATGGTGACCGGCGGCGCTTTCGACCGGGTCTCGACTTTGGCTGTTGCTGCGGGTTGCTGCTGGCGACATCCCGGGCAGATCGTGTTCTCCGCGGGCTTGCAGCGCGGGTGCTTAGTGCGGTTCTCTTTTTCCCAGCCATAATTTTTTTTAACAGAAGAAAACCACACCAATTTCGTAGCTTAACAGTCGAGAATTTTCGGAGAGCTCGGAAAAATTATCGAAAAATCTGCAGTTAGCAACAGGTGATAACCGTTATGGCAAGCGATAGCGATACGCGATGCGCACAGGCAAGATGCACACGGCCCGAAACGGTGCCGGAAGGTACAGGGATGCGAGTACAGGGAAATGACAGAAATACGCGGTAATTAATTTCCGCTGATTCTTAACTGACATATAAACCTATGTGAGAAATTTAAATACAGTCCTTGCTCGTACGATCCATGTTCATATTTTAATTTTTATAAATGCTACGCGTAATACTCTCCACTAGTAGACCCCGCGCAAACTGCGCGGAGTAAATCGGCGATGAATTGCTATTTAGGAAAACTACAAACCCAGGACTACAAATTTATTAGTTTTTGGAAAGCAGCAGTGAGCCTGCATTACACTTCACTAATTAATTGTTTTAAAATCTTTTACTGAAAACAATTTCCCGTCCCGCTGGCTGCAGAATTTACCTTCTTAGACCCGAGAATTTGAAATTTTCCAAGAATATCTGACCTTTGAATTTGCAATTTTAAAACAACTTTTTAAACTTTCCCCCAATAAGTCAGCAGCAAATTCCGGTCAGTTTTTAAGAACTGCATATAAGAAGAAGCTCTTTAATTAGTGGAACGTTTGACTCCTTATCACCCCTGTGATCCAGATACTTATTAAATTTCAGTCTGTCCATCGTGACGGACACAATATCCAGTGAGACAACGGTACCTTTTTACTGTTTAGAATAAAAATACCTTCCAGTGTTCAGTTTTCTCATACTGCTTACACACTAAGGCAAATTGTTTAGGTCGCATGACGTATGACTACTACTGAGTACAAAATTTCATTGTACGGTACAGGTTCTGCCGTTAAGTAACGTCGAAAACGTTTTGTGCCGGGGTGCTATAACTTTCGCTTTTTTCGGATTTTTTGATTCATTTGTTTGTTTTAAGTTGTAATATAGCGTTTTAGTTTTTCATAAAACCTTTTGTTTCGACGTTCCTCAGATTCTTTTTGAAGAATATTTTAGCCTCCCCCCTCTCCCCACCCCCGCTGCGGACATCCGAAAAGTCGAAAAAGACGTTCCCCCCTCTCTCCCGGAAAAAAATCTGGGCGCCCGTCCCCATGGGCGGTGTTTAGACTCCATTCCCATGCCCTCTGGGGCTGATACACGCTGTTTTGCTTAAACAATATTTTCGGTCGAACACCAAAATTCTCAAAAATTGACTCTCAGAGTCTCTAAAAAATGTGTTTGCACGCCAAGAATCACTGATCGTTAGTAATCGGTAATTAGTGCAGCAAGGCCAGCACTTAATGTTTTTGCAAACCCAACCACCCCGGGAAGCAGTTGAGATATTAAATCTAACCAACCCGCTGCGGAAAGCAGCTGTTTTATCTTTGGAATTTGAGTCGTTCGGACTCCAACTCGTTCCAACTTCGCAGGAGATTTCATGCTGTGTCTTTAAAAGTATCACTCTTCAAGCCTTACATTTTTTTAAAAACTAACTCTTGATAAAAAACTTATGAACTTAAGGCAATCGGATAACTTACGAACACCAGAGTTCCATCAAATGTAGATGGAAGCGTTTCCTATGCTGTTCGTGACAGTGGTGGCGTGGGTGGGTTTGCAGTGGTGGGTTCTCCACTTTTCCCGTAGACTTTGTATGTTAGGTTCTTTAAGATTTTCTCTGAAATTTTACGTGCTTTCAAAAAACTGACGGGTTTCTGCAAATCTGGAAACTCGCGGCTATTGAATGACATATAGACAGCAAAGTTTGGTTCAGTGGCTCGCTCAAAAAAGGGAGACAGAAATGGAATTCGCTAAGGCTTATTTTATTAATATATAGGATTTAAAAGTATCACTCTTCAAGCCTTACATTTTTTTAAAAACTAACTCTTGATAAAAAACTTATGAACTTAAGGCAATCGGATAACTTACGAACACCAGAGTTCCATCAAATGTAGATGGAAGCGTTTCCTATGCTGTTCGTGACAGTGGTGGCGTGGGTGGGTTTGCAGTGGTGGGTTCTCCACTTTTCCCGTAGACTTTGTATGTTAGGTTCTTTAAGATTTTCTCTGAAATTTTACGTGCTTTCAAAAAACTGACGGGTTTCTGCAAATCTGGAAACTCGCGGCTATTGAATGACATATAGACAGCAAAGTTTGGTTCAGTGGCTCGCTCAAAAAAGGGAGACAGAAATGGAATTCGCTAAGGCTTATTTTATTAATATATAGGATATCCCAAATGCAAATTAAGTATAACAAATTTAGCTCAAATTAGGATGGTGGTAACGGAAAGTTGCAGATACAAAACCACCTGATTACAACGAAAAATTTTCAAAACGGCATGACCGTACGGTCATTTGAAATGATACGCGTATCATTTGAAAACAAAATGGAGAAACAAATCAAACAAGAACATTATTTTAGAATTTGCCGAGTTTTCCGTTCCGTTTCTCTAAGATATATGAGCAAAAAAGCGCACCATGGAAATAAGTGAAAAAGTCACCGAAGCAAAGATCAAAGGATATTGCAGCTTCTAGCTGCGGCAGGGGCCGTCGATTTCAGCAGCATATGCTTGCTCATTTTATTCATGTCTGCGCGTTCGGTACTCCGCGCAATAAGACATAACCGCAAGAAATCTTTCGCCGAATGCAAAAAGGCTTCTTCATTGCCGTGCACCTTTTTGCGCTGAAAATCTCCATCAATATACGGAGCATGACCGTCCAACAGCGCCCTCCTAATATCTGCGCTCGACTTAGCAAGAATGACATGCCGGCTTCGGTACTGAAAAAATGGATCTTTTCCTTGGAGCATGAAGATTAGTACGCAAGCAAGACTCCATACGTCACTTCTTCGACCAGGGTTACCGAATTTTTTGTTTGCTACCTCCGGTGCCTGGTACGCCCACGGGGGACCGCCCGTGGTGGTTACTTCTCCCGACTGCGTCAGGGATCCGTCCAGTTTGACCACAGCACTATAGTCAGCAATTTTCAAAGTTTTCCTGTTCGTTTCCGCAAATAACAGGTTTTCAGGTCGGAGGTCTCGGTGTACAATTTTATGCTGATGTAGAAAATGCAGACCAGATACAGCATTTTCCAAGTAGGCAGTGCAGTCCGCTGAAGAGTAACCGGTGCTGTAGAGCCCGTAATGTTGGCGCATATCATCAAGAAGAGCGCTGCCTAACGGACAGTAGTCACAGTACTCATACTATATGCATATGAAAACAAACGATCAAGTTACTGTACGCTAACTAGTCCTTGTACGTACTTTTGTCGTCTCTTGACAGGACTCTAACGTTGCGGCTGAAAATGGTGTTTAGCCGCACCGTTATGAACTGATAGTTATCCTTTTAAAATAAAGCTACATGCAGCTGATTCCGACTACTGGTTTGAGAAAACCAGTTTATTACTTCTACCTCTTGTTATTTATATGCAGTTGCGTAGGGCCCGCAAGTCCACTTACCATAACAGCGCTCCATTGCAATATGCAGCTGGTACTGCTGTCGCCTTCCATCCAGTTGCGTGTCGATGTAGAAATATTTAACCAAATTTTCTTGTTGAAACTTGCTGATTTCTTTAAACTCTTTAACAGCATCCTTAATAGATTTGCCAGCAGCATCATCGAGTAGAGCATTTTGCCCATTTTTTGCACAGGTCACAATGTCAGGATTGATACGAAACACCTTAACGGCATACTTCCGCCTGGTGTCTTTTGCTTGCCCTTTGTAAACACCTTCACACATGCTCCCGTCGCCAATTTTTTCGTAGGTTTTAATGGTTAATCTAGGGCGCAGCTGATTGATTCCGAGGAATTCCACAAGTTTCTCGCAAGTATCATCGTAAGGTTCCATTTGTAAAGGTCCAGAGGTAACGACATGGGGAATACTGACAGGAATTCTGTTTCCGTCTGGAAGGTCGATTATACTATATGTATTATGTACTCAGTATTAAATAACTGCATCATTTTATCGGCCAAATATAGAGTACACGGTAATTGTATTATAATTATTTTATGAAATGCAGCTGCAAACTTCGTGAAAATTAAAAAGCAAATAAATATCTTATGTACAGTTATCTCTGCAAAACTGCATGCTCTCTAATGCTGGCTGCCAAAGAAACCTAATGACTGCCGTGGTTATCAGTTCATGCGGTAACCGGCGTAAAACGGCGATCTTACCTTTAAACAGTACACAGGTGCTGATTTTGACCAATAAATATGTTTTGTCTAAGCATACCCAAACCGGGGCAGCACAATTTCTTCGTTACTGTAGCAGTATGTACTTCCCGTACATGACGCTAGTAATCACGGGACGTCTAAATCACATTCAACCGAACGTAAACAATAATTTAGCGGAATTGTATCGGATGTAATATGGCGAAATACTGCTAGAAGAATTTTACCGGATGTGCATAAATAAAGCGACACGAACATAGAGAGAAACACTACTCAGTATTTCACGTAGAAAAATTAGTTACGACTCATTTTGGCTTTAGCAAATTTTTCTTGTTGCTCATCAGACATTTTTGCCCATGGTGGCTATGACATTGTACGAGCATTCGTAAAGTGCAACTACAGTAGTCAGACAGACATATAGGGTAGCAGAATATGATTAATTCCTTCTAAGGAACGTGGGAGCCAAGCCTTCCTTCAAGTAACATCATAAAAGGCCCTTCCCTACCCAAAAACCTGATTCATGAACGTTAACATTTGACTGGTTTGGCAGAAATGGCGTAGTTGCCTGAAGTTGCTGGAGATACAGTGTATGCTGTACAACTGCTGTTCACAATCCCAATGTTTAAGTCATATTCAATGTTATAAAAAATTATGTTTTAAATGTAGCATAATACGTTGTACCACAGGTGAATAATAACACCACTGTCTCCGAAAGAAAAATTAACATCTATCAGTCTGTTATTGCAGGAACTAACACTTAACGGAATAACACTAAATTTTGAGTTGCAGAAGTTGCAAATGCGAATCTTAAGTTTATTTTATTCTGCCAGTCGATCATTCAAATGCGCTATCTCAAGAGTTAACAATAAAGTTAGTATCGCGTAGTATAACACAAGCGAAATAATTATGTTCTATAATAATTAATGATTATTATTAGTTCCATTAATTAATTAATATAATTATTTAATTAAATAATTAATATTTATTATCAATTAATTAAATAATTATGTGCGCGATCAAGCTGCGTGACGAGTACGGGTAACTGAAAGCCAATTAAAGCCAAACCTGCTGCACATGCGCTTTATCGTATACCACCATGTCGGGTTATGATGAGCAATCCATAAAGTCTTCACCAAAAATGCGTTTTTATTACTGCCCTCGAAAGGAAAGCAAAAATAACAAAAACGATAACGTGAACAACAAATCATGTTACGACGTAAGAAAAAAAAACCATAACTGCGTTACTGCTCTGTTTATAAGCGTTTGCTGTTGTTGTAATCGCTTTTTGGTCATTGGAACTGAGAAAACAAGTCTTATTCTTATGATATTAAAAGATGGGAGGCTTCAAGGACCACTATAACGAAAAGCGCTCCCAGCGCCACAACGGAAACGGGATCGTCCTGAACTGCGTCAAAGAACTGTCTGTTGATCCTCTGGATGCCAACATCGAACGCTCGCTCCATACTCCGCAGTGTTCCGGGTATTTTCCAGTTGCTCTAGGATTCAAAATCGAATATATTGTCAGAGTCTTATAAAATTCAGCTCGTAGCAGCTGTTGTTCCCAGCTTACCTTTATTAAGGGTTGCTCTAGCAGCATTTGAACGGTCTCTCTATTGGCGGCCTTGAATGCGAAACAGTGGTCCAGAAATTCTGCGGCAGCATAGTGAAAGCCTTTGCCATCCCCACATTGTTTACGATTGAACGTTTTGTCATAGTGTGGCCGTTGCTCACTAAACAGTTCCCGTGATATGTCCATTTCGGACCTTAGTGGCTCTTTAGTACCGCCCCGGCGGCTGTAGTAGCGGGGCGGATGACCCAACAGCATCTCCAGCAGAACACAGCCTGCTGACCAGACATCACTTGCGCGCCCTATTTCTCCAAATCGGTCGTGGAAGGTTTCCGGTGCGCGATAATTCGCCGTTCCGGCTCCACCGGCTACTTCATTCGTGCCGGTTTTCGAGGCCATTAATTGAATAGCTAAACCGAAGTCGGCAATCTTAGGAGTACCACTGGCAGTGAACAGTATATTCTGGCCTCTTAAATCCCGATGAACGATGTTGTTATCATGCAGGTAGCCCAGACCGTTGAGGATGCCAGCAAAATCTTCAATAATTGCTGCTTGTGTGTAGCGCTGATTGCGAGATTCTAGCCGAAGGTTTCTGGTTTCCAGTGTTTCCCCTGTTTTAGGTGACACGGGGTTAGGTGTTCGAAATTATTCGAAGACAAGGAGGAAATAAACGTGGAAAGGCTGGAACGATAGTTTTAATGCAGCACTATGAGAAAACACCGTACCTGGGCAGTACTCCATCAAAAAGCGAATTTCTGGTTCACCGTCGTAAGTAATCAAATCCAGATAGTAGTACATTAGCACGTTTTTGTGCGGATTTTGATTCAGTTGTATTATCGACCGGAATTCCCTGAATTTTCTTCCAACATTCAGCTCCCGCCTAGCGTAGTCCGCATTCGGAACTTTTATACATTTTACCGCGAATTCATCCATATCAATTCCCTGTGCTGTGCCTTTAAAAACTCCACGGCAGAGCGCCCCGGTGCCCACTCTTTCCTCGAGAGTGTAAGAAAAAGGTGGTCGATACTGTTCGATACCAAAGATCTCGATTAGCTGATCCGTAGATGACATGATTTACCGGTATCCAAAGCGTCAACAAGTGAAACACGAAAAACACAGAAACTGAATAGTTAATGTTTTTAATTAAGTCTATGCTTCCGAATGACGCAAGCAGGTTCAAAAAGATGCTTTGAAGGCAAAAGTATAGTGCGACATACATACAAGTGTTCGACCGTACTGCAGATAAATAGTTAGCTGCAGAAAACAAAACTACTGCAAACGGAGGTTTGCGGCAAATAGATGCGCCGATTAAGTATGTCGGCTAACTCTGCACCCGGTTTGTCTGACGCATTCGGATCGTTGGCATTGCGTGTAGCAGGATAATGACCTTGTGCTCTTCCGGTACTACCTAACATAACGTCCGTCCGTGTTTTGCGCCTAACCTTTTACACCATTCCACAGTGACAGTTCTGAATCATCAGTCTGGCGTGTATGAGACATGTCTGCGACCGTGCGCAGTGGCGCACCTAATTAATCCGGACCAACCCCATCTAGTAATGTGCTCGTTTGCAAAGAGAAAATTTACTCAGTAGATGTTGCAGATGCTTTATGATAAGCAGAACAGCAAGGGAGATGAGATGGTTGTAATAATAACGTACTTTCTGGTGTGCTGCTGTAATACACATTGTATTTATTGTGCACTCTGTAATTAGAGTGAGCATTACAGCAGCAAACCAGAAACTGCGGCACGGCTGACGGTACAGAGGCACGCTCCCTACTTATTGTTATTTCCATAAGCATGTACAAATGTACGAAAACATTACAGATTAATGCTTAACGTTATGCAGATGTTTCATAACAAATGGCAGACAATTTAGATTTTAGGGCACTGGGGTCAAGTCTAAAACGACTCACGCGTACTGGGAAATTAGAATTACTAAAGGTTGTCGAATCAATACTGTTACGGCAATCATTATTAGTCGGACCGAGAAAATCGGATGGCCACCCGTAAAATCGGCTTTAAATTCGGCGTTGGGCCGAACGGCTCATTTCCCAATCGAGCGTTTTAAACGAGCTGCAGCTTCATAATGTCCAGTTGCTTTAGTTTTCTGTTAGTCCGGTTATGCTTTTGATCGAGTGACGTTGACAGCCGTTTAGAATCTGTGACAGAAAAAAAGGATTACGCACGTAACGGAACTACAATTCTGTGACAGCAGTATGGGGAAGTACGTACTGGAATGGGAACGACAGTACGCTTATCTCTCGCTAAGATGTTTGCTAACAACAACGGAAGTGTTCGTTACCACCGTGGTTAGTAGTTACGTCATGAATTACAGTATGCACTACCATGATACACGATTTTGTTGGCCACCTTGTTCGTGTCAAACAAATGTTTACCCAACGTGTCCGCTGGGATTTCTGGAATTGTCAAGGCCTATGTGGACCGATGAATTGCATTCTGCCAGTAGTGTATCTCCCGTTGATGTGTACATACTACAACATACCTTTCCGGCATCAGTTTTGTGATGCTTTAAATTTTTGAAGTCTCAGGCAGACCTGGAAAACCTGATTTCTGCTGCTGCTCAGCATTTATTTGTTCGGAATGAATTGTCCTAATAATACAACATCAGGATTTGACAATTCTTCACGGATTCCGGCACCACAACTTAACCCGTTCATTTTAGCTACCACATGGTTCACTGTCATAGCTTGCGCATTAAGTCTTTTAGGCAACGGACTTGTGTTGTTCCTGTTTGTGCGCACTCGCGCTTTGCGCACTAGTTTCAACATCTACATCGCGAATGTCGCCGCGGCAGAGATTATTTACGGCATTTGCGGCATTCCGGTACAGTTCGCGAATCAATACTACAACTACTGGCCGTATGGGTTTGGTTGGTGCAGTTTTCTGGAGGGTGGCGCTACGGTAGCGGGTGCCAGCATCCGGCAGGCGCACATGCTGATGACCCTCAATCGGATGTGGGCCATTCTGCAGCCACATTCGTATAATCAGCAACATACATGGAAGATGGCCCTGTTTTTTATTCTTCTGACCTGGGGTTTGGTCGCCGGTTTGTACCTACCAATCTGTGTGCATGGAAGAACGCTTATTTCACCGGAAGAGAAATTGTGCATTATTAATGTCAGTTATCAGTTTCTCACGGTAATTGCTGCACGGATGGTTGCGTACGATTTTCCACTGCTGACACATCTAGTCTGCTTTCCGATTATCGCGTGCATGTTGTACAAAAGGAGTCGAAAAAAAGAAAATGCTGGCGTAGAGGAAAAATCTCAAAACACCGGTGAGTATGACGATCTCTTTTTGAGTTTTTGCCGTAAATTTTAATCAGATTAATATTTTTCTATTATAAAATAAACTATGCTTTTTTTGGTTTTTCAGCCGGTCCAGCATAGTTGTAAGACCGGAATAAATACAAACATTAGCCCATTTTTATTAACTGAGTTGTTTTACAATAGCAAATACGGGTTCCCATGGCCCTGTCACAGGAGCAAATAAAGTGTCTCCGCTCCAAGTAGCTTCCAGGAAACGTAGCCGCGGTCGGACCGGCAACGGCAGCAACCGTGTATTTGTCTACGTGTCGATTGCCGTCACGCTGTGCTGGTCCTCGACATCGGCATTCTGGATTCTAGCCGATCATACGGGATACTGGGACGAAACTTACTATGGTTTGCAGACTTGCATAACCTACGCAAATTCGGTCCTCAACCCGGTATTGTGTTTTGTCGCCATGGAAAAGTATCGGCTTGCTTTAAAAAAATGTTATCCTGCGTCCGTTTGACTGTGTCATAGTGGCGTTTAGAAAACTCGGGAATATTGTTTTCTTTTATTTTACCTGAATAAACTGTAACATAAGCATGTACTTACGTGTAGAATGACTGTTTTTTGTGGTCCGTATTTCGTATATGCTCGCTTCTGGATTTGTTGAATCACCACTGGGAAAAATGGACGTCATCACACAGTTACAATCCAAAAGACTTTTGTATCAAAAATCTGTTTCACAACATTTAGCTTTATAGGAAAATTACCGTATGTTTATATTTCTTATTGGTAAACAAAACTTGGAAATATTCATATGAGCAGGACGCTACCGTAGTACAAAGTACTATGTACTGCCTTACCTGCAGATATTGTTTCACAACATTTAGCTTTATAGGAAAATTACCGTATGTTTATATTTCTTATTGGTAAACAAAACTTGGAAATATTCATATGAGCAGGACGCTACCGTAGTACAAGGTACTATGTACTGCCTTACCTGCAGATATTTTATTTCAGTGCCCCACACGGTTTTGCAGCATCTGTGATTTTACCTGTATATAGGGTTTTACGGGCACTGCAGTATCCGTAGATCATTTCAGCTGACCCGTACCGACATGAACCACGACATGCTTCCGACACGCAAAAAGTGAATTTTCAAAAATTTTGTTTCTGGCTTATTCCAAACACTTAACCGCATACGAAAGTTTTCGTTTGCAGTCAGCGAATATCGATTTTTTGAAATTTTTAAATTGACAACGGGACATGAGTCACCTCAAGCAGGTTCAGTTACATATATATTTGACAACCGGAAGAAGTCTACAGGTACTGGTTTGCACAATTCTAGAAATGAGACTACGAAGAAAGCTTTGTGTTGTTAGCACTCTGATACAGTTCGTAGTACATACCATTTACTTTTTGTTCTGCCTCGCGATACTGACAATATTTTACCTTTTTACGAAAGATGAATTTTCTGAATTTGAAGCCGGAAATAGTGCCTTGGTAAGTAGACAGGTATTCTAATATGAGTACTTGATAAAAAGCATTTATAAGGGAAAGAGGGTAACCATTTTGCACGCGGGCCTTAGAAGTACGGAAAGGCAACAAGTAGAGTACAGTTGAGGTCTGCTACCGAACTCTATTAATTTATCTTGATAAGGCTAATAAATTAACTACTACTCGCTTTCCTTTCCAGCCGTTCTGCAGTTTAGCGATAACAGTTGATTAATCTACGGTCCAATAGCAGAATGAGTCCGACTACCCGGTAGCTTGTATGGGGATTTGGTAGATTTTTCAAAAGACATATCTTGTGGTAGTATTTCAGCGACTGGTCATTTGTGCCGCAAACTGCTGAATTGGAATGAATTTAATGCATAACCCGGCCGCATGACCGTAAAAATGTTTTTAAGGCTTTATGCAGCATTGTATTGTGGTTCAATTGGACTTCTACTTAGCACCACATCACTGGAATGCAAAGTATCGCTGACCACGACGGGGAAATATTGCACCGGCCATTGTGGGAAATACACTTATCCCTATCACTGGTGTCCTGTAGAATACTGGTGCCGAAAAATAAAGGGACGGCATAGAACCGCTCGTTGTCAAAACTGGGAATACTGTTCCCCGGATTCACAGCTGACGAGCCATGGAAAACGATGTAAAGCTGACAGTGCATGTGATTACCATGGCTACAGCTACATGTGGTGCTATACGGAAGATAACAGCTGGGACTACTGTGCCCCACCCAGCGTGGAATGGTGTGATCCAGTCTACGCTACCAGCACCTCCAAGAACGGGCAGTTTTGTAAGGACCAGTGCGAGCCACGCGGCTACCGGTATCACTGGTGTCATACTCCATATGGATGGTTCAACTGGGATTACTGCAATCCCGAAAAAACTATCCCGAAGGGAGCAGCCATTCATTTCAAGGTACAGGAGGATTTTCCCAATAAATGCCGCTGTCAAGGACAAAAGGTCATAAATGCCGGTATGAAACAGACGTTCCGCGTTATCTGCACAGAACGACAGGTTAACTTTACTGATGCGCCGCGATGCCGGGATGAGAGGTTTATATTGCCAAACAGCACTAGTGACTGGTTGGGAACAGATTGCACTTACAGCGGTTACCCACGTAGCTGCCCGGAATACATTAATCATGAATGGGATTATTATACGGAATTACTGCACGTCATTGGCCAGCGTATTTGCCAGCAGAAGCATCGGAAACAATTTTGTGTGGATGAGGCCCACACTGCAAAGCGTTGCTCGGATGTCACTTTTCAGGCTGAAAAGGAACAAGATAACTATGTATTAAGCGGCATTGTATTGCCGCAACTGTTCTTTTAGATGGTATTTTAGTTGTTTGTTTGTACCAAAATTAGCATAAATTCGGTTGGATTTATCATTATGCGACCGATGCGAGTAAATAATTATTTCGGTAGATTCCTGAAGTCTTAATTCGAGATATACACACACCATGCAACAGTGCGTTTTAGCAGTTCTCGGCACAGTTTTACTAACGCGTGACATGGATATGCTTGCAGCTCATTGCAGCAAATTTTATTTCTCTGGAGGAGTGTAAGGCCCAAATTTTAATAAAAAAACACAAATTCTAGCGGTCAGCTATAACTTATTTTTGGTGCAACTTTGCCCTCATATTATGTGGCTAAAATTACAATGGCTTTATCCCAGAAACGATGTTTGATATAACCTGATTCGTGGAAAGCACATAACGAACTGGTTGCCACCGCCGGGTCAATATCCGAAATATTCTAGGAGCGCCTATGAATTTATCATCCGATTGACAACAATGAGAAAGATTCTTCTAAGAGAATCTGTATATAATTAGGTCACGATGGTTGACTGTTGCGCCGGTAGCATGCCAGCACAGAGTATGTCTAGTAGAAGTATAAATCGTGCACTCGTACCATCGAAAGGTTCTTTATGACGAAATTGTATTTCCTTTACCAGCTTTACGTATATTTATTTTTTCCGAAACGGTACTATCCGTTTAGATTTTCTGTCACAAAAAATAACTTGCAAATACGTTTGCTAAATAAGGCAAATGTTATTCTCTGTAAACACTAAGTAAAAGCGCAATTTTGTGAGGAAATATAGTAATCATCTTGCACGTGCATATGAGGTAGGAACAAGAAACCTACAGAATAAGGTTGAGGTCTGCTACCGGTCAGTAATAATTTATCTTGATAAAGCTAACTAATTAACTCTCTGTTATGTCCAGCCACTCTGTAATTTTGTGATAGCAGTTGACGTGTCCACGATAAAGTACTGTAACAAATTGAACGCGGATGCGCTACAGCCTACGTATATCTGGAATATCGCATATTACTTTATCTTACCAAAACTCTGGTCGCAGTAACTAGACTACATATATTTGCGCTGCACGTTGTAGCGTTTAACTGGAATATACCATACCAAACCCCAGTCGTAAAAATGTTCTTAAGACTTTATGCAGTATTGTTGTGTTGTGGTTTAACTAGACTCCTGCTAAGCACGATATCAGTCGAATGCAAAGTATCGCTGACCACAAAGGGCAAATATTGCACTGGCCATTGTGGGACATACACTTATCCTTATCACTGGTGTCCTGTGAAATACTGGTGCCGGGAAAAGGTCAGTAAGTTTAGGTATGAAACCCGTCTCTGCCATGGTTGGGAATACTGCTCCCCGAATCCGCAGCTGACCAGCCACGGAAAACGCTGCAAAGCTGACAGTGTGTGCGACTATCATGGGTATAGTTACATGTGGTGTTATACGGAGGATGACAGTTGGGACTATTGTGCCCCACCAAGCGTGGAGTGGTGTGATCCGGTCCACGCTACCAGCGCCTCCAAGGACGGACGTTACTGCGAGGACCAGTGCGAGTCACACGGCTCGCCGTACCACTGGTGTTATGTTGCACGTGGATGGATGGATAATTTCTGGCTATTAATTCGGCCATGGGATTATTGCGAACCACCAGAAATTATGTTGGATGACGCAGCCATTCAGTTCAAGATACAGGAGGATTTTCCCGATAATTGCCGCTGTCAAGGACGAAAAGTCATAAACGCCGGTATGAAACAGACGTTTCGCGTTATCTGCACAGAACGACAGGTTGCCTTTACTGATGCGCCGCGATGCCGGGATGATAGGCTTATCTTGCCGAACAGCACCAGTGACTGGCTGGGAACAGATTGCACGTATAGCGGTTATCCACATGACTGCCCGCAGTACAGTAATTACGAAGAGGACTACTACACGGAATTAATGCACACTATTGGCCAGAGAGTGTGCGAGCAGAAACACCGGATCCAGTTCTGCTTGAACGAGGTGTACAATACAAAGCTTTGCTCAGATATCGTTTTCCAAAGGGAATAATACAAAGACAACGATTAATGAGCTTTGAAATGCTCCAGCTGTTTGTGTGGTAAAGAAGATTTACTTGTGTAGTTTTGATAAAAATTTTAATTCAAAATCAATGTTGCAACTACTTAATAGCCGGCCATGTTCTAACGAAATGTGCTAGCGTCGTTTGTTAGCGCGCCATGATGACCTTGTTTGTGAGTGTGGTATAGGAGTAATCGGCGGCGGTTGGCGTAATAGCAGATAGTGAGCAGACACGACTGCAGCTGCTGCGTAAAAACATATTGTACATATTGTATTGTAAGCTTGTCCGGTAATTTCTGAATCAACACAGCGAAATATGCAAATTTACGTGTTACGCCAAACTTCATACTACGGCACGCCACGCCACACTGCCTAAACACGTAGCCTGCATTTCGCTGGCGGGTGGCTTGGTGCGCGCCAGAATAATTTAATGAGAATTGTAGTAACTGCCTGGCGGAAGGTGGCTTGAAAAACGGTCGGTGTACTAAGCGACAATCTAACTGCGGAGCGCAATTAGACAATCCGATAAACGTAATAACGTGGTCATCGTTTCAAGCGCAAGCTTCGCGCAAGCTGTCTGTACCTTTACCTAACCGGTAATTTCCGAAATTACCGGACAAGCTTGTACTGCTGCACTCTAGCATCATCGGACTGCAATTTACCGATTACGTTGATAGTATCAAATAACAGCAAAGCAAGCCTGCGATAACGCTGTACAAGAATTCGATTCACACAATTCACCCGGCTTGTTGATATAAAACTAAGGGCTTAACCCGTCACTCCGGCTGCCCGTGGACAACAATCGACATACAGTGCCAAAATTATTGTTTAATTGTGTTTTGCTAACCCATGCATCTAAGGAAGTAATGTGAGTGATAACATAATAATACGGAAATGGGTTTATTAATCTTCCTGGTTATGACCGCCGCTTTGCTTTTGTTAAGCACAAGTGAGTGCAAAGTGTTCCTGTCCTATACCGGAAACTACTGTGCTGAACCGTGCCAGAATTATACGGGTTGGATTAGCGTGTACCATGGGTGTCCGGTGGAATATGCCTGCAAGAAGAAGAAGAAGAACAAATATCGGAAAGTGGATAGCCGATGCCGTGCTTGGCAGTACTGTTCGCCCAATGCCGAGTTAACCGCCTACGGGAAGCGATGCCAAAAGGACCATCCGTGTGGTTTTCATGGCTATAGTTATTGGTGGTGTCGCACGGATGATGACAGCTGGGATTACTGTTCACCGCAGCCCAGTTTGGATTAAAGAGGTTGTGATTAATAATTATCTAACGTAACTTATCTTATTATGGATGCTGGCCAACGGGAACTGACTCAAAGACGATGCGTTACTTTATACGCTATCGACCAAAACTTTTACCGTCAGGATTTCTGAAATTAAACTTTTTGTACTATAATAACTCAACTGTTGTAATACGTACTAAATTTACGCTGCTCACGTTTTCTTAGCGGTCATCAGTACAAACATAGCCACAATACTATGTTATAAACTCCATACGAATGCAGCTGCCTGCGTTTGGACTTTGCTGAATTATTACGCATATCACTCTCTTTAATGATTTTGTGGAACAACAAAATTTGTTAGTAGCTGGCAGGTACCTTAACTTAAAAATAGTGAACTGGATCCTGGAATATTGAAAATTGTTCTTTACCGAAATCATTAGTTATCAACGGTGTGTTAAACACATGAACACCCAGAACATCGAATTTGTTATTTGGCCTTTTAATCATACTCCAGCACTTAATTAAAGAATAAGTTCAAGCAGTAAACAATAAAACAACCGGCCATTATATCTTTCCGAATTCCTTATCCAGTTACACCCAGATATCCGAAGAACAGTCGCCACCCGGATAGCGCACTTCATGACCGCGAATGGCCCCATCCGGTTCGCTGGACAGATCGACGTAAAACTCCGGATCGACCGTCATTCCTTGGGGACTGCAGTTTAACATAATGATTCCGCTGCCTTTCCTTAAAATAAAGTTGTAAGCATTACATAGTATTCTTGTATTTAACATTGAAGGCACTGCAGATGTGCTTTAAATTCACATACTTCACCAGTTCCGGATAAAACTGCTTATCCCATGGCGTCAGCAGAGAACATGTAACGTATAACCGTTTGCCATCTCGGGATAACTGCAGCATATTAGGACCCGACCTGCAAATAAATTTCAAAGAAAAACAAATCATAAGAAATTTGTTATAAGCGGAAACATGCACTCCACTATACAAGCTAAGGCACGCCCGTAATTTTGCAGTATTTTAGGAAACACTGGTTTGCTTATATTTAATTTGACGCGAGGGGGCGACCGTTCACTTACCATATAGGATGACCTTTCACGACCAGCCTCTCTGGCTGTGTATCCAGTTCCTGGTCTTTTGTGACCTTAACGCCAGTGTCCTTGCAGATCAGACCTCCCAGGAAAACCTGAAATATTATAAAAGGTAATTCAGTGTATCCATGCATGTCGGCGTCAGTTCGACAGAATTTTTTTGTCTTACCGAAGAAACGAATTTGGGATGTTTTGTATCGGAGATATCATATTGTCTAACATCTCCGTGTAACCAATTAGCAAAGTATAGAAAGCGGTCATCCAGGGAAATGAGAATGTCGGAGATAAGGCCGGGCATAAAGGGCAATGCCCAGTTATCGACGAATTTTGGTGGGATTTTGATAACCGGTTCACATGTCCATTCACCGTCCTGTATGGTACATAAGACAAAAGAGTGCATTGATAAAATTACCAAAAAAGCAACTGATGCACTACTCGAATAAACAAAAGCGTACAAAGATACGTAAAATAATCATATTATATGAATTATTCATGAATTAGAGCTGTTAACTACTTCTCAAAACCAGCAATATTTACAGGTTGTATTCGACGCTATGAGCACACACTGGATGAGTAAAACACCTTGCAACTTGAACGCATTTATTGTATACATAAGCGATGCTCGCCGTGTACATTACTGCCAATACACCGAAACAGGCAACTAAGCTTATTTTTTATGTGAAATCCATAATCCATATCGTTGGAGCAATAAAGCGACGATTTTGGAACTTATCGAAATATAAATTTTTGACTAGAACTGCAAAACTTGACCCTCTAGACATATTTTTCTGATAATGAAAATTCTGTTTTCTTTCAATTCATACCGGAAGTGCTTTCTATAAAATACCAATTGGAAGCAGTGTTATTGTGCTTTAACGGACTTATGGAAAATGATTCAACACACCTGACGGAAGAAACGGTAGACTACAGATTCCAGTGCTACGCCCACAAAGCCCTCGCTGGCGTCGGGATTGTGCAGGAAACGGACTTCCAGAGGGATCGCAGTGGGACCGTTCGCGTCACCCAGGCGCATGGATTTAATAATTGTGTGCTTATTCCAGTCCCAAAAGTGCAAAGAATGGCCCAATATCTGGTTAGTCGTGGCGTCTTCCATGTTGAAACCCTTCATGAAACTTTGCGGATACCCAAATTCGCTGGAGACCTGTGTTAACATTTTAAAACTGAAAAGAATGATTTTTTATTTACGGGATCTAGTGATTCACAGCAAAGTGTATATATATTCAGAGAAATATAGTTTTATTCCAAGTAGAGTGACTGCACATTATTAGTACAACTACAATCAAATCTCTTCAGTTTTTATGCATTTTCATCTACGTATCTCAGCAAAAGTAAGACTACGGACGCCACGCAAACCATAAAAATACTTACTCAAAAATGTCCAAAATATTCATACATGCAGGTACATTATACAACGGACGTTAATTTTTCCTTCAGTTTTAATTCTGGCGCAGAACAAAGAAATTATAACCTAAGGAATTGTAACGGCTTGTTGTGCAGTTTGTTTTAAAAGAAATTATTTTTTTCGATGGCTAGAAAGAGGAGTATATTTAGTTTTTGCGAACACTTTTTTAAGTGCATAGTACATTTTATGATAAAATGTATTATGCACTTAAAAAAGTGTTCGCAATAACTAAATGTACTCCTCTTTCTAGCCATTTTTATCTGACAATATCCTTCCACATAATAAGTACATAAATGAATTTTCAACCACGCTGATTATATATTAACTAACCATAATATTATGGCGTGGCTGATACCAGAAGTCATATCCCATAATATCCTGGCTGTTCTTATTCCACAACCCTTTCGGCTCGAAGGTCTCGCCGTCCAGCAGCAGAAAGGCACCTTTGCCCTTGCCCTGCTGATCGCCCATGTAGGAGATCATAATCTCTCCCGACGGCAGACAATGCACGGTGTGCGGATACTGAATGTCAAAGCGCTGGGCAATCTGGGCACCATCGATGACTTTGTGTAAGCGCGGCGCGTTGGCGGTAGCCACGTCGACAATGTGGATGTTGCCGCTCTGCAGACCGGGAATGATGAGGAAGCGGCGCGTAATGGACGGATGCCGGCAACTGACGCAACTGTTCCATCCGAAATGGTGCAGCTCATCGCGGGGATCCGAGGAATACAGGCGATGGATCACCTGATAGTATGCCAGCAAACATGCACTCCCGTAATATCGTGAATAATGAATACTTATCTCTATCTGTACAAGTATATGTATTACGGAGGCAAATTGTATGATCCGCAAAAAAATGATTAAAGTGCAAATCATAATCATTAACTGGCATAGGGTTTCGAAAATATTTGTCGAAAAAGATTTAATTTTCAGTTTTCTAAAAAACATATATATTTTTTCCAAACATAATTTTATGGTAATTCTAATTGTCATTTCTTAATTGTCTATTTGCAAGGTCAGCAAAAATCCTGTGATGCATTTATTACTCAGAAATTTTCATTGTTTTGGAAGTGTATTAATGGCAATGAAATAGGTTTAATAAAAAAGTAATCAAGGAAAATTGTTACTTTTGGTTGCGAGTATTTTCTACGGCAGTTATGTTGTATGTATCACTTTTATGCAGCATAATGCAACGCACAGTAATCATTCAGATGATCTCGAAAAAACAGAGCGCAAAAAAAATAATAAAAGGATAGTTCGTTTGGTTTACCAAGTTACCCAACTATATTTTGAGCCTTAATGCTGTACAAATATGTGTACAAACAGGTCTACATATTGACAAGTAATACGTACTGTACAGTACGCCGTGTACGGTGTACCTAACATTTGTTAATTCTCAGGTTACCGGAATATTTTCCAAAGAACAGAAGTAATAGCAACATACCTTTCCGTAATCCTTGGATTCTGGATCAGCATCTACCGTTGCCAAATATCCCGGCTTATTGTGCTCGTTGTTTTCCGGCTGGAGACACAAAACGTATAAAATCTTTTCCCGTGGCAGTGACATGGACTGCAGCGGCGACAGAACTTGATCGCCATTTCCACAACAACCTCCGCTAGACATGATCTAATTTTATCTGACACCGCAATAGTATTTAATTTGAAAAAATATTAATCAATCTTTCGGCACTGCACCATGGGAATGAGCCAGCGATGAAGTACGACAGGAGCACTTTTTTTTAAAATTATTGCTATGAAAGCAAAAATAAAGTATGTGAAATGTAAAGTGCCTCAGGGAAATTTGCCAAAACACCTGGCAGAAATCACCACTGACTGACAGTGCTACCTGATAAAGACGGAAAAGCTGTTCGTTTACAGTACTGTACTTAAAAACTCTTAACTCGATACCGGCGATCTGACAAAGTGATAATAGAGTATTCCGGTTTTGCACAATTGCCGGTCTGTCTCGCTTTGAGATTTTCCCTAGGTGCCGGTACGTCTCCACCACCTCCGCTACAATACACAGTACACATTTTGACTAGAAGTATTAAAGCCGAGGTGCAAAGTAAGTACTGACCATGAGAATGAGCACAAACTGTACAAACTATAAACGAAGGTAAAAACTATGACAGTGGGCCAGGTCAATTGCTCTGTGTAAGTCTTACGCGACGCGCAAGCGGCAGTCGGGTAAAAATTCATGACGTCACGGCGCGTAAGCAGGTAAACGATTTGATTGGTAAACCAGAATTCTGGGATGGGTTTTCAGCTTACCCGTGCGTGTAACCGTTGCGCTTCGAAATCGAAGCGCAACCGTTACCCAAACTACGAGTAACTCGTAACTCCTGCACAGATCAACAAAATTTTTGTTTTTTCGAACCAAAAGTGCATCCAGCGACCCAGATTGACACTCCTAAACTCAGAATTAACTTTTTTGATGTAGTACCACATTAAAGCATCAAAAATAAAATTTTCGGTTCCACTTCAGTTTTTTGGTTGTTCAGTTTCTTTCTTGCCACGGAAGCGTACTCGACCTACGATTGGACGATAAATTTTTCGCTGAGTCATGGACAGATTTTTACGCGTTTCTCCGTTACCCGACGCGCAATGGTTACCCAGATGTAATTGACCTGGCCCAGTGTAATGCAAATTCTGTGTATTGCGTTATACGCCTTGTCCACTTCGTTGGCATAATCATGCCACATTCATGTGCCTCTCAGATTAAGTGTCCATTAAATATTAACCATAAAACTACTGACTGTAAAATGCGGACTAGTAACATTATGGCGTCATAGAACAATTCGTAAATGCAGTATAAATACTGTATAATACATATATGCATGAAACAATTGTATTAAATAAGCAGGTGTTGGCTGCTCTGCCGCTTCTCTTTTTAACCGGCGAAAGTGCATGCTTGCCAGTGCATGCCGCTTCGCCGCAAAACTCAGATATTGCTAAGTCCAGTAAGGCAGCAAAAGATTGGTAAATTACTATAAATCAGGTTATACGGTAACTGTTCTTATCGCGAATTTTGTATCGATCCTGCGCTGCTTAATTACGATTAATCATATGCAAAAATCACGAGAAGATTTATTCATTGTTAGCCCGCATCAGCACTGTGGAAGCCGAAAAATTTATCCAGGATATCTGTGGAATGGACGCTCAAGTGACTCCAAATCGAAGCAAGATCTGACCGTTGGCAAGCTGCACTGAGCGCATTAAACCATTTTAATGCATTTATGTCTTGTTTTTCGTTGCTGGACGTTACCAGTTAGGTATCAGGCACGAGATGGCATACACTGTGTTATGTGTAGAAACCCTGGCCGGCAGTGCACAGTGCAAATTCCAAACGCAAAAGCGTGCATCAGGTAGCTTACGGTTAGCCGTGATTCATAACCGATGGCGATGAGTTAATAAGACAATTTTTAAGGCCCAAAGAGCGGGAAAGGGCGCGTGCTTTTGTACGAGTATATATGAGATTCTGTCGTAAATGACGACAGAACGCGGGTCATCGGAGTTGTGTATAAATACGAAAATGAATAAATGAATGGGACCAGCTCTTAATAGATCGTATCCAAACACTACGCCCTCGTTTCCTGCATGCATCACCACGCGGGCCGCTGGTTATTTTTAGGTCATCGAATACGTTGTAGCCCATTTCTACATCACAAACAAAAACGCAAAGCTGCAATACTGTAGAAAATGCGAGCGTCGAAAACCATGTTATGCAGGATTAAACTGTGCAGCAAAATGCTAAATTTATTAGTTATTTTGGCTCTTCACGTGGATGCCGTAATACTCGTAACTGCATTCGCAGATACTTAAAATGTTTCTCAAAATGATACACCATATGACGACATGTTGCTAAAACTGATTGTTTACTGCAGATTGTTGTTGCTGCAAAATGTATTCCCATGCTTGGTCCATGGTGCTCCAGTATCAGTAGGTGCGTTACTAAAATAGAACGACTGATATCCCGTCAGATTACCCTGAAGGCTGAAACCTACATACATGTAGAGTCATGCGAAAATAACTAGGATACAAATCGCCGACATTTTCTGTGTTCTGTAAATAATCATAAGTTTTTAACTAATTATTTTTACTATACAGAGCAGCAATGACTTTTCTGAATCGGGTGTATTATAGACAATTTCAACAACGTCATGACTTTATTAACAGCTTGGGAAGATGGAAAAGATCCGGAATTTGAATCATCCGCTGCTGCATCAGTGATGCCGTCCTGGAAAGATATTTTGTGGCTACCGGATGACGCCTCTTCGAACAGGTTTCAGGCACCAGGTTCGGCCACTGGTCGAATGTTTAGCAATAACTACTGGAACCAAAGCGGCAACTGCGTTCCATACGCGATCGCACCCGATTTTGGTATAGACTGTAATCGGCGGGCAAAATTAGTTCTGGTTGGAAGTTAAATTGGTTTCGGCAGAGTCAGCTGCTGCTGATTCACTTTGTTTGCTGCATAAAATTAAGGTTTCCCGTGAATAAGGGAATATATGATAGCTGCACAGAATGCAGACGTGTAAAAGTATTGTAGATCCAAACACTTGTACCGTAAGTTGACTTCCTGATTTTAAGTTGACACTTCCTGACAGGACCGGCGTAAATAATCAGGAGATCAATTTTCTACTCTGTTGACCTTTATAGACGCTGAAGCACAACATCTTATAAGAACGGCGTTGTTGGCCATAGAAAATGCAACGCATGGCTGCGTGAGGTTTATAAAGCGAGAGCATGAAAAAGAATTTATTTCGATTCAGCATAAGCCAGGGTAAGTAAGTATTCATATTGTAATGGACCAGTGAGGCTATATGACGCTAACTGCTATTTGAACATCTATAGTGCATCGATTAGCAGTCATCATCGATTACGCCAGCTTCTTACAGATTTTCTTTCGTTTACGTTAGCTTTCGTCATTTTTGAAACTGTTGATGGTTTAGATGCGCGGCTGACGTCGGGAGGACACCCAGGAGAATCACAAAAGTCATACTGGGAGGAAATTGTTTGTCTCCAAGAACAATAATACATGAAATTTTCCATGCATTGGGATTCTACCACGAACATAGCCGTCCGGATCGAGATACATATGTCACTGTCAACGCTGCCCCGAGCAATATCGAACGAAACGTTGATCTGCGGAATTTCAATATTCTGCCTGATATGCCGGTATTTAATTTGCCATACGATTACGATTCTATAATGCATTACGCACCCAGTGATTTTGCGGCTAATCCTAATGATCCTAATGGAGCGGTCATCATGCCCAAAGTCAACGGATCACTGAAAATTGGCAAGCGAGACCAGTTGAGCGTTCTCGATATTGCTAGACTAAAAGTAGCTTACGGATGCTTGGATGCGAATCTCGGACCCATTCGCAAAACTTTTCCTAACAACTGCAAAATGACAGTAAAGGTAGCGGAACGAGTAGAGGAACCAGTTGTCAGCGCTGTTCGTCATCAGCATTCGCCAACGTCACGAAAACCTAAAGGGTCAAGACTCAGAGAATTAAACGAAGGTTAGCCATATCGATTTTAAAAGCTAAAGATAAATTCAAATTTGTGTCCTATTGAGGACTGAAAAGCCAGGATTAGCTTCCTGGCAGAGAAAGTATGACTGTCGACACGGAAAAATTATAATACTGCGAAATTGCGAATACTGTATATATAAAAGTTATGTACAGTTCCCAGGTATGTGGAGGACAATAACGCTGAATCTCCCTTTCTCCCGGAGTTTTCGGATAAATTAATGACCAATGAGCAATGTGCCGCCCAATTCACTAGCAACTGTTCGCCCGTGCAACGTAAAAAGGCCGCTTGCGCGAGATTCCGAGGTCTGGAGATACATTGCTATAATACAGCAACCCTCGAAGAAATCGCACAAATAACGGCTGCGGTATCCAGGCCACCAATTCGAGCAGTGCGAATCCGTTTAAACGATGGCCCACTCATTACGTACAGGAACTTTGTCCGCGTAAGCACCCAGGTGGTCCAGTTCACACTGTCATTCTGTCGCGGTGCACGAGCCTCCGGTAAGCTGGCGAAGCTATGTTTTGTCCGTCTGCTAGACTTTGAGTTGAGTTGGTGCGACAATCTGGAAATTCACAAAGACGATTTCAAAGAATCGTTGCAGCTGCGGATAATCTTACTGGCGCAATCAACAATCCGCACACTGGAAGAGGGGACCTTTACGAACCTGAGGAGTTTGGAGGTGTTGTCGCTGGAATATGGACTGGAGAGTCTGCTGCATTTGCGACCGCGTTATCGTGACCACGTCGCTCGTATTCATTGCGAATGTGAATTTGCTTGGCTTAGAACATGGTTAAACCGAAATGCCAAATTATTATGGAAGAAAGATGCCGGCGCCGTTTATAAGTTACAAAAGTCATACAGCAACCCTGCATATAAAAGAAGAGATCTCTATATTCCTGTCGATTGCTCGAATCTTTTTCGATCAAACGCGTCTCTCGTAAGCTTCGCTCAGATGGATTTTTCTATTAGCGATAGTAATTGTGTTGTCTCTTAAACTATTCCTCGGATCTTGGAGCATATCTTTCGCCTGGGTAGCCTGTATCGCATTGTGTATCAGACTTTTCGTTGCTGTCAGAAGCCTTATGATTGTTTCTCTTTTTAAATATGTAAGGATCATAAGTGCTGAAATTCAGCGCGGAAATGCCGCTTCTGTTCTGGGAACTGTTGGATGTTTGAAAGAGCTAGAAGAGCTGTTTTATTTGTTCTAGCTATTCGGTATTTGAGTTTTAATTGTAAATGGCATTTGCTTGTATAAGGTTGGGATTAAAAACGTTACACCATGTAAGGATCCAACCATTCAGAGTAGGATGAAAGCATTGTAATTCGGCCGCTCGGACCGGGGTCGCAAAAATCGAATAACAAACTCAACCAGCAGTGTGCAACTGTGCATTAGGAGCACAAGCACGAGAGTTAACGATCCTTTTGTCAGCACTGGGTGGAAGAGAGAAGCGTTTGTGTGCGCAATATATATGCGGTATGCTAAACGAAGAATCTACATTTTCAGTCCTACCCTTCCAATGTACTCGTATGGAAAGTAAAATCGGTTATATGGTTATTGAGTTAATTGATTTTGAGTTAATGATTATGATATGATTATTGAGTTATTCTTTTTTCCTGGGTAACCTTTTAAGGTTGATAAAGTAAAAATTGGCGCAAGACTAGTCAAAGGCGTACATGCCAGACTGAATTTTTTCTAGCAAAAGTCCGCAGTAATGGTATGCCGAAAAGGTAATTTTGCAAGGCAGATTATAAAAATAACGCATACGTTAGAAACGCGCCAGTTATTACAATTTCCAACGGCATTCTTTCTGCGAACGTTTAGTTCGATATGCTTACAGGACCAGCATTAATTTTATCAGATTCGGTCAGATTTGCTATTTATGGCTAGGATACTATAGACAATGGTTACGTTGCTACATGGCATCAAGCATGAGATCACTGTACGAATATCACGAAAATCAGCAACATATTAAGCATAGAGTAACATAAGTACAAGCTCGGCAATATCATTCTGGACTGCGTCTCAAGGCCCAGCTTATGTGAGAATCGATACGTGCGCTGCTGTTGAACTGCTGTGGCAGACCACCGAGGTCAAGAGCTGATTGCGGCGTCTGTGTGACGAGATTCCGAGGCACCAGGCAAAACCAAAAAAGACGTTGTTGTTTCCGTTGATGGGATACCGTCGATATGGGCACTTTGTCGCCTTCTGGAGTTCTTTCGACGTTGTTGAGCTTTTATACAACAGCCATACACTACGATCCCAACAACTCCCGGTGCTCCTAATGCTAAAGTGAGCTGTGCCCATAAAGGCCACGGTGAGGCTGGAGGAAAACGAGTGATGCTTGGTTGGGAATTATCTATAGTTAAAGTCGATATTGCACGTATAGATGAGCGCAGATGCCGGTCAATGGATTAAGTGTACATGTTATTAAATTTAAGTACGTGCATTTCGGCACCTAAATGCATTTAAAAGTTTTGGAATTTTCTTATAGCCATAACTTTCCAACCGGATGTTGCGTGTCTAAAGGATTTTCACATCAATGTACTAGTATTCAAATAATTTGGCTACCCAATGCCAATAATATATTTTGTTGAAAATATTATGAAGGGTGGGTGGTTTATGAAAACGTAGACAAGTACTCAAATTGAGCGAACGTTGAGAAACATCATACTTACTCTTCGATTCTTGGGGGTTGATGATTGCCTCTAAATTATTCCTTTCAGACGTAGCTAAACTGTCCTGTCCACGTTCGCACCCGTCAATAATTTCTAAGCGACCAGACATGGCTGACATGTGCTGCTCGAAATCAGAGGTAGAAATAAAGAACTCCGGGTAGTAAGGCTCTGCAGCGCCAAGGTCTACTTTGATTTTCCATTCCACCTGCAAATTTATGTTTAACAATAACATGACAATTGATATATTATATACAGTACTAATACACATAAATATGTCGGACAGTAAAAGCCAGTGATTCCAGAACGTGTCACTGTTTTACCGCACTGCAGGTAAAAGTTCAACAAATTCAAACATAACTCGAAATGCCAAAATGTGGAGTTAAAAATTAAATTTCCTTGTAAAATTTCCTCTTATCAACCGTTGCTGTGCGTCTTTTGTTTTGTGCGTTGTAAGTGAGCATATAAATTTTGCATAAGCAGAACAACCTGGATGTGGCTATGAAATCTTTGAAGCCGGTGACAGTCAAAATCAGATCATTATGCTTTAAGGACTCTTAAAATATTTTCGTCGATGCTCGATACAAATGTTTTGATAAGACGAGATACTAGGTATTGACGCCGTAACGGAACACGGTCTTGTTTCAAACTTTCTGCACAACAAGTAAAGAGACAAGCTGATTTCCAAAGAAAAAGCCACATTAATTTTTAAAACTCTGCGTAGCAAGCTAATGGTAAGGATTACAGTCGTAGTACCTCTGAACCAGGCTGTACGCCTCTGCATTTGTCGGTTTTCTGCCAATCCTGGTTACCGCAAGATGAAAACAACGTGAAGCGCAGCTGTGGATGAGATGAGCCACTGAGTTTGATGAATTTAGCTGGTTTCTGTCCAAATTAAGGACAGTTATTTTTTGTGAGCTGCAGCAGGTTCATAACATTTGCCTACCAAGTATTCATTTTTTATCAGTGCCAAGACATCGGCTAATTTGTTATCCAGGGAAGTAACAACACACCGAGCAACCCGATGGCATAACCGCTCGTACTGCATAACTCGTTCCGGCGAAACCACGAACACCAGATGAATATCCTTATCTTCCGCCAATTTTGAAATTGCGGCTATGGACGGGTAATTCTGCGTAAAAGTTAATCATTTCAAGCTTTTTACAATTTAGGTCTGCAGCTTAGCAGCATTTTTAACAACGTTTTACCTGTACAATATCCTTGTCATAGGTTAATTCACCAGTTGAAGAGGTGGATTTCAATTGGCAGGATCCATGTCCGTCTTCCGGATCGGAGGCAGTACTTTGAACCTGCAGTGAGGACTTTTCACTATGTTTTACCTTTTTCAGATGCTCAAAGACCTTCAGCATTCCGCAGTACTCACGTCAACGCCATCGACGAAGGTTAAGGGAATATCGGTAACCATTACAAGCAGTTGTATAGAGTCTTCACGCCATCCGATCTCGCTCGATGCCTTAAAAGAGTCGTTTGCGTTTCATCATATTATTTAATCATTTTATTCTGTTCATCTCTCGTTTAACACTTACATCGCATATCATGGTTTGCAAGAACGCGTTCATCCATTCCTTGGAAGAGCAGCAGTTTTGAGCAGTCTTTGCCTTTTTCAGTCTAACCTTTGTTACGCAAATTAACTTTAGGAACATTAATCACTTCGCTAACAAATAAAAGGAAAGCTGACTCCAGTATGTATTCAACTTGCCTCAAATTCACGATTAGGAGTACCCAATGGCCAGTAACGGCCATAGCCGTACTGACCTCTACAAATACAAGCAAGAGACCTTCAAATGATGCGGCATCTAAACACTATACAAGACACTGGAAGTTTGCGAACCACACATCATTCAAAACGAGAGCGCCTCCGCTGACAAAATGTAATTGCTGAAAAGTTGTTTAATATTTACGTGGTTGATTCATCTCCAAAGTATCCAACGCCCACGTGCAGATCAATGTCCATAGTTGCCAATTCTGTCACTGTTTTGTAATAAAAGAATTATTACTTGAAATTTACGCTGCTTACAAGTGTAAACGAACATAATGCATATTTGCACTTGCCCGCAACAGTTTCTTACACAGTGTTTTGGTCAAAGCGACCCTTACAGCCTCAGCATCTGTTGAATTAAAAGATAATCCGAACTGAACGAATAAATCCACGGGATATTTTCTTTTCCGGGTGTTGACGCTTAAGGTCGCCGACGTGTCTGCAACAGCACGCATGGCTTTGTATGATTGTTACGCTGTCACGGTATCAAATGCGGCAAAGCGCATTTGATACCGTGTCACAACTCATGTCACACAAACTGTTTATCTGTAGCACAAACTGATAACCAGCATCAGCGACTACCGTTCGATATCGTGCTCCACACATGCATCAGTGAATCACTAAGAATTAACGTTTTCCGCTTATGCTTGTCCACGCGATCAATAGGCACGCTCAGCTTTACCACATGTAATAATTATTACATCACAAGGGTGTGCGATGTAAACTGTAAAGCGACGCCACGCCGACATACAAACTGTTTATGCCATAAGCACCCCATCCGCACCCGTATGACAACTGAACGAAGTACGAGTCGATTATTCTTACGTATGATTATGATTATTCTTACGCGGACGCATTCTGAGAATCACCCTTTGCGGCTTGATGGCCACCATATCGCTCAGTGCCAAATCCTGCAAGCATGATCTGCAATTAAATTTTTGCTTAAAAATTTTTTAAGAACGGTGATTCTAACCTCATAAGCCAGCACTTCATTGTCCGGAGCAATCACGTCATGTGTCGTACATTTGCGGTATGCTTGCGTCATACTATGACAGCGACCAGCAGTGGATAGCGAATTCTACGAAGAATTAAATTATCATTATTAAGTTCTGTAATTACTTTTACTTCTTAATTGTCCTCTTAGGAAGTCCTTTTTATGCATTCGAACGGTATTATCTCTGCAATATCCCGATAGTACTTTATGACATTGAAAAGTCGTATCTTGAAGTCAAGCCCAAATTCCAAATTTAAACATTTCGTTGAAATACCTACGGTGTCACTCAATACCGAGTACCCCTCTGTCGGCATGCTATAAGCACGCTTCAATGAGGTAATTCCGCAAATAAAAACAAGATAAGCAGATAAAGGTCAAGTGATGCCGACGACATGTTCTGTAGACTTTTGAAATATTTGTTGTAGTGAAAGAAAAGCCTGGGTTACGATATCGAAATCCCAAGCTCGTTAACCCCAATAGATAGCGAATATAGCACTGGCACTGCCTGAGAAAATTAAATAATTTTTACTACTTAACAAAACAATATTTTCGTCACATATTCTGAAGTTTCAACAACAATAAAGTACGTAACTATAGAAAGGACTCTCGGTAAAATGTTCTTTAAGCAAAATCACTAAGCGAAATAACGCGACTCAATTCTTTACTCTGATTGAGAATGGCGTTTAAGTAATCGTAGTGAAATTATTATGGGTGTATAAGTATTCTGTATGTGCAGATAAGAATTAATGAATACGGCGGACTAGACATAATATTAGCAGCTATCTGCGTTCTAGCGGTATTCGCTTTATTATATCGGCACGACGGCAACTGAATTTTATTTATGGCCCAGAGACATGAGAAAATAATAACGCAGCCGCTCCTAACAAAGAAGTACTGATGGCTCTTAACTTACCTAAATTCTACAGAACGACTAGGAAAATCGCGAAAACATTACGATCTCAGTTGGAAGTGTAATGCATGCTTTGTTACAGTGTTATGGATATTGAAATGAAAAACATTTAACTTTTTGGCAGTACAATATACTATAGCGGTATAGCCACTAGATAAAACGTGCTACTTTTTCCCGGTCACCAGGCTCTGTGGTGCACTTCATCTAGAGACTGAGCTACAGTAGCTGTTGTTACGGTTATTAGTATGGTGGCGTAATAAGTAGGGGACTGTAATTAATCATACTTCTATAAATAAATCACTTATCTGTATGTACATAGTATATCAGGTGATAAAATTTAAACACCTATGTGACAGATATCTTCCATTATTATATCAATCAAATTTTCTTGCTTTTAATAACCTTCATAAATAGCCAATCTCGTATCAGTATTATGAAATACAACAAACAAGGAATGAAGGAGCATTTTGTCTTTGTGCAACAGTGCATGCATTATTAGTACATACGAATTTCGCTAACCTTTTGAGCGCACCATGCGCATGACTGGTGGGCCTGAATACATCCTTTACAAGAAGACTGTGACGTGCAGATATCAATGGTGCTAATAGCTGCAAAACAGAACTGACCAGCTACGTACATATATACAGTGGAGATTAATGTTATGCGAGTATGATTTCATGATGTCAGATTTAAAATCCGTGCATTCGATTTAATTAGGTAGAATAATATGTTGCTGAAGCCTGAAAAAGCATTTTCTCAAAAATATTGCGACCGCTAGGGTGGCGACACTTTGTGAGAAGGAAACCGTTTCTTCACAAACTATTTGCTTTTCAAATTAGAAAAGTTCTCTGATTCCGAATTTACAATCGAGAGGCGTGTGGGCCGAGCTATAGATAAAAGCCCAGAGTATAAAAATGCACGTAAATTTACTTAGAGCATACCCTGAGAAGATGTGTGAGGAACAGCAATGGCAACGAAGAGGAATTGAAGCGAAAGTAGTGGCAATAACATTTGTAGTTTTTGACACTGCATCGCTGCAGATATGGCCATTTCAAACAAATTCCGGATTATTAAACACGTATTGAGTTAAAATAAACAACAATATTAATTATTACAAAACCGAAAAATCCCCCTGTGCTGACAAAATCCACTGTAAAATAAGCATCAGAAACCCCGACTTTTTAACGCTCTATAAGTTATGCAAAGCTCTAGGCAGGCAAAGGTTGGACGTCGCAAACAAAACTTGAGAATTATTGATGGAAGCATCAAGTGTGATGAGACTGATTTCCGTATGTCGACCTTGCGTACGGGAAATTGATGTCTTTATATGGTCCTGAATAGTCCAGCAGCCGCGGAGACAACCTTGCGCGCCGACTAGAGCGGTGCGACTCCTCCTCTTTTCAGGCGACATTTTCAGAAATGTGCAAGATGGAGGATTGTTTGCGAACTGCAGATGAGTAGGCTGTGCGATAAGATGGAAGGCAAAATTGATATCATAAGTAAAAGCCGTGGGCAGTAAGCTAATATCCACAGCTTCTTCAACGCGTGCGCTCTAATGTACTCGTATTTTGTAGTAACTGCTAACTGTATGTACGGTATTGTAATTCTATGATTCTGGCTGTAGTTATCAGTTATCACTGGTATAGCGCTCGCTGTTGTACGAGTATTACAACAGCCTGTTTTGTACCGCTTTTGTAGCGCAGCTGCGTTTTGGCAACGCATTAATTTAAATTAGAGATAAAGCAAGTTAACACGCAGTACTTCCAGTTTCTCAGATCGTCTACCTCTGCTGTACAGGCAATGCGTAGAACTCGTACCTTTAAGCAACAGGTAAAATCGATTATAACTGCGATTACTTGTGGAACAGCGCGAAGCACCGGCATGGCGGCATCAGAGTCAGTTAGCGTAAAATGGCTTCAGTTTACTATAATTATAAGTATTTTTGTGTTCGAAGCTTACCATTATTCTCCATCTGTAAACTAAACCTTTTTACATAACATTTACAGTTGCTGGACTTTAATGCGGTGGGATGAACAGGCAGACATCGTTGAAGACAAACATTCTTGAAGAGCTCTGAACGTATGGATACACACAGTTATCATCGTAGCCATGGATTCTAATATGACGAAAAAAAAAACACCGTCAAAAATGTTTCCATGGACAAACAGTTATTTATTTTGTGCAGTTTACTGCTAAAACTAAAAAAAGCAACACCTGGTAAATTTGTATTATGTATATACGAGTAATTATGGTGTTATCGCAGTTTTCTTGGTTTCGAGCAGTTTCTGTTACTCACAACTCACAAATAAAGTCAACCGTTTCACCCGTTTCTGTCGTAGATTTAATTGTTGTAAGCTTTAGTTAAACATTTCGATAACGCGGCAGGCTCGCATTTAATGAAGCGTTCTGGTAGTGATAGATAATTTGTCATTGTGATTTCAGAAAGTAAGTAAGCAAAGGAGCAACGTTTCAACGTGCAGTGTGGGAGGGCATAGTTCTGTTTTAAAGTGGTAAGGCATCGTTCGTGGGCCAACTGCCAAGCCGACTACCAGGTCGTCTGCAGACTGCAATTATTTGCAACATCTGTAGCAGTTTATCATGTGTATTAAAATTATTACTTATGTTATTTTAAAACTGCGATAACGTATATCAACTGTATCTGTGCAGTCTTTACTGAGCAACAGAGCCTCTTGTGACATGAAATACATAAGCATGAAAACTGCGAATAAAATTCCTGTTCATTGTGTGGCTATCTGTTTCCGGAACCTTATTTTTATGAATTTTATGACTTTCTGGCTGGTGAATGTTATCTACTGATACGAACACAATTGTTAGAAGGTATCATGGTGTCATAAAGTGGAGATTTTCAATGCCGGGTAATGCGGCTATACGATAGAATGACGACTGTGTTGGAAGACAGTGCATTCCATTACACAGTTCGGCAGTGCCCGAGATTTTAGTCTTCTCCGGCAAGCAGGAAGAATGCCTGCAAGATTAATCAATGACCAGACTAGCGAAATGCGTGATTCACAGGATTACATGTTTCAAAACAAATTCCGCACACAAGCAAATCTAAAGCGAACAAAGCGAACACTGATCAGTGATAATCATTAAGCATTGACTGGTTCGACAAATACTTACTGTGATGGTCAACGAATTTCTTGAGTTTTTCAGGTCCACACGGTAGCGCAACTACATACTGTAGCGGCTCGATCAAGTGGCACGGCATACCTAGAGTAGTTTCTGTACGGGAAATCAGCACTTGCAAAGTGAGCGCTCAGCACTGCGCAGTGCTTGCGAGCGCATGAGCATGCATACGCTGCATGTGCGCTGATTTCCCGTACACCAACCCTGTGGTGTGACTTGATCGAGCCGCTACAGTACTGCATGCAGCGTACGACTGTGTCCCCCGTTGTGGAAATTCCGCGCAGCCACCGGACTAATTTTGTTGCAGTATCATGGTAAAAAATTGCTTTTCAACAGCAGCCAACTGTACTGAAGTATGTATAAATCACAAAATAACTCGAAAACCAGAGCATATGCTGTAGCCATGCAGAAAACATTCTTTTGACAACTTTTAACTTTGATACCGCTAATACCAAACAATTTTTTTCGCCGAGTTATTCATTCTACCAAAACATGATGAAACACACTGACTGAAAATTCTTAGATTGCAATCAATGTACGTGCATGGGATAATTCAAATCGAAATTTTTTTTGCCTGTCCAGCTCCGATTATTTGTTGCTTCATAAAGTTCGCACCAATTAGGACATGTTAATGTTCAAGCTGGGCTTCGTGCTCATGCTCTGTTTGGATGCTGATCGGTGCCACCATTACTTTGTTTTCGAAGATGAGGATTTGTTGGTTCCTTGGGGAGATGGCCATACCCATCAACAGCTCTAGGTTCTGGTTGACTACCGGGTATTGATTCCATGCCGACATCGTTGGTGCCCTCTCCACCTGTGGGCACTGGGATGTAACCTCTTTTCTGCCAGAGTTTAAACCCTAGCACTATGACCGCAACCAACATCCCGACTAGACCGACTGCCGAAAGTACCAACCAAACAGAATGTGTGGTCGAGCAATCGGCCGATTGCAGAGTGCGTCCAGCGGTCGGCGGACATGATTTAAGCCCGGTGATAGTTTCTATTTGGATGATTAGTGTGTTATTCGAGCCGGCTGGTCGGATATGCAAATCCCGGTAGAATGCCGCCGAAGTATTTGGGACGCCAACAAGTTCGATATTAACCTGCCATTCTACCTAAAATGTCAAGTCACATTGAAATACTACCCTCAATACCAACGTAGACTCCATAATTGTGATTACTACCTCTGAGCCCATCTGTATATTTTTGCATTCAGTAGTTTTCTGCGGGGTTCCAGTTGTTAAGCTTGCCGAACAGGAGGACCAGTATGTTCGCTTTATGTTTGGTATGTCGGGACCGTCCATCAGTTGAATAGACTGCGTGCTTTTCTGTTAAAATAGACAGTATGCCCACAACTTATGATATTCTACATACTATTCTATATGACCCTAACTATAGACTCTGTACACCGGCACTGGCACAATAGTGTTCAAGTGTTTACAAAGCGTTGTTTTTCGGTTTGTATAGAAATAATGTGTTATCGACCGAAGCAAAGCTTAGCGATGGTCTTCCACTCTGTATGTTCAGCGCGAATGGAAAATGCGGTGTCTCTGCGTCAGCCACCGCCACGAAATGCACATATGGACAGTGGTGTTCCACTTGTCCTTTTACCAAAAAAATTCTACCACTGGAAGGCGAACACTAACTAACTGAAAGGGATCGCCTACAGTAAAACGGGGTGAACAAGGGGTGCCAGGATGCCATTCCATTCACTCTGTCTTGTAATATACAGACTACAGAGTAGCCCTGCTACTCTTCGGTCATGCAGTTCCCGCAATAAGCGAGTGCGCTTTCCTTGTTACAATGCACTAGACTGATGACCTTTTTCTAAGTATAACTCTTACCAGATACTGGCTTTTAATCATCATGGCGGCAGTACTCCAGTCATTGTCCAGTTTGATAACGCTGCATGCTGAATGTGTCAACAAATAGCAAAAGTGTAAATACTCGGAAAAGCGATCAGCAGGCACCATGAAGACAAGGTTGACTTTATGATCTTCGGTCGTTTGGGCAACTTGGCGCGCAGATATGCTATCCTGTTGGAGAAAGTTACCTATTTCTGTTTCAGTACAACAGCAACACCGCGAAAATGTTGCATTATTCAATGAAGTTGTTTGTGTTACAAAAAGTTGGTTATTTAAAATTTAATTGTGAGTATGAGTTAGAATGTTCTGGAATTCCAGTTAAGAAAATGAAAAAAATGCACGGTGGTAGTAAAAGAAATCCCAATTACAGCGCCAGTACAGATATGCAGACCTGCCCAATATCTGCAAAATGTGTAGGTACTTCCCGCGCGCTGGTGCTTTGGAAATAGCATGCTTCGTTGTTGTCCTCATCAAAAGCAGCAATCCCAAATCCCTGAAATCAACATTAGCATTAGCGTGACAATTGGATGGCAATAGTCAAACCCAGAAACATTCTATCAACATAGATAAAGGTCATACTGTGTTCTGCCTGAAGAACACAGTACCAGTGAAGGTTGAACGCCGCTATGTGCATGCTCTATCGAAGCACATGGCATATTGGCAACTAACAAGGCATTATGCTTTCTGTCAGCGTTGCCGTACTTTCGTGGTGCAACAATCGGTTTAGGTGCATTTATATATTGCATAACAAAAAAGAAGATGCGTTATCTTCATCAGTAAAATATAGCGCAAAAAAGCACTGCTCTGTTTCCACTTTTTCTCATACATTGAATTTTAGTATGCAAAATTGCAGATACACAAAGTTATGGAAATACCTAATGACTACTTGTACGTACTTTTCACCACACTCAGTCGTACTGTACTCCCAAACGGGGCAGCAAGTGTTTATGGAGCGGTTCCGCAAATTCATAATTTCGGTAAGCTTTCATTTTCCGTTAAGTTGTACCTTACACCCTATTGCATTAATTTTTTAGTTTTAGGGCTTTTAGCCAGAATTTTATCATTTTGCAAATTGATCGGAAAATTGGCGTTTCATTTCGGCGCTGCGCAAACATTCGTCCTACTGTATATTGAAGTAAATTTTACCGCATGTACGTTTTTGCCATCGGAGAAATTCACCGGTACATCCGTAGCTACAATTACAAGATGTATGGATTTTGTCCGCCATCCAATCTTGTCCTACACAAAATTCCATAAATTTTACTCTTACGTGGAAGTTATGGCACAGAAGGGGTAGTTCACGAGCTTACATCGCAGACAATTGCCTGCATGAATGCATTAACCATTTGGTCCTGAGTACAGCAGTCAGGGGGCAGTTTCCCACCTCGCAGTTGCATCTAGAGGGTGTTACAAAAATTAGTTTTTGCGTGAATCATCGCACTCTCCGCCATATCAACCTCCGGATTTGGTTTGGTTCTGCTGAGAGGAAAGTAGCGGGCATAGGAACCGGACTTTCTGGAAAATGTAAGTATAAAGCAGGTGCTGGAAATGAAGTCTGAAGCAATAATCAATTCGAGGTGTCACTGCTTTTTCCATCAGTGGTGAACTGGTAATACACCAAACAGAATACCTCGTTGCAATGAGCAAGGAGATTACTTACTCGGGAGAAGCGTCCACAAAAGTTCCTAAGCCCCATCGTAGATCGAGGTCAAGATTGCCCAATTCCTTGTCTATTTTACATTGAGCAATTTGTTATTTTTGTACCTGTCTCTTTACCGTTACCACTTCATATAGTATTTCTGTGCACACCTAGAGCTTTTATCAAAGAGGAGCTAGTGGCTTGGGCAGCTGTCATGTCAGAAGAAAATGCCATTTGTAGGTGAATGTCCACTGGATATGGCATCTTGCGAATTTTTAGCTTTAAAGTTTCAGACGTTTCTACGAGAGAATGATAGTATAAACGCTCGAGCTGGCTACTCTATGCCGTATTAAAAGTCGTAAACGCTTGTGGTGATTCGGAGGTCAATCAGCTCATACGGTGCGATTTCGAATGATGTAGTTTACGTAGTGGCAACGTACGTTCGCGTATTGTAAGAGAAATTCTCTGCGGCTGGATTTCGATCACATCACTTAACGCTTTATTCTGCAATAAAATCCGCAAAATCAAATGCGATCGTTGGTTCATTTTACGACACAAGGAATCATACCTCTATTGTGTTAGGCTGATTTTTGGGAGCTACGATTTTATCGCTTGTACATTCCTTGTGCACAGAGGAACGGACATCACAACGCGCCCCAGAGAATAACTTCTAATAATTTAGAAACAACGATTTGAATATCAAATTAAAAATAAATGCATATTTTCGCGCAGTAACGACAAACGCACATTATGCAGTAGGGACGGCGGTGACCATAGACAAACAACATTTTCTAATGACACTGGTGACCTCTGCTACGCTTCGCTCTCAAATTAGTTACGATAAATTACGCAGAAACAGAACCGAGCAAAACTCATACAAAACCCAGAAGGATTTAAAATTACCAAAACTGCACTTATGGTAAGAGCTTCAACAACGATGAAATTCGCAAAAAATGGCATTCGTCATTGTAAGTGGTAAAGAAAAAAGAAAGAATATCACAGAACCAAAAGGTTTTTGTCATTGTACCTCATCGTCGCACCAGGCACAACTAGGATTTGCTTGCAGGCATGCTTGACACGAATTCTGCTCCTTACATATGCTGGACGTCGCACCTGCAAGTATGTATTTATACGCCAGCTCATCAAAATTAATTTAGGTCGATCCAATGTGCAACAGAAGGTACAGTACATACAAAACTCGAGATACGTCGGTGATAATGCTAACTGTGAACTGAGGGATAATACGGCTATGGATACCACTGTTACATCGTTCTACAATAAAAGATGCCAGTACTACTTGAATATCCGAAGATTGTTTTACGCGACCATGAGCTAATAGAAAAATAATTACAGCAAAAAGGTGATCATGTATTTTCTTAACCTTTCTGTAAGAAGTACGGCAAGATGGCGGCAATGGCCGTCGCCAGTTGTGACGACAGACCGAAGATAGGTCGTCTACCGGAACGTAGCTTCATGTTGTAACCGAATCACGGTGTTTCATTTACTAGTGCCAGGTTTAAATAAATTAAAATCCGCTGTCCGAGTGCATGCTGAGGGAAACCCGGAAATTACGATTATTTTTTCGGCATAAGCTAATGAATTACTAAAGTTTGCGTATGAGCCCCCAAGTAGTCCTCTACCAGATTCGTCAGTTCCGATAATTTTGTTTGTCTTGTATAAAGCTTTTATCTATTACAGCATATTCAACGATCAATCTCAGTAATTTGACGGAGGATTTGTGTTGAGTCGTGGACCTATACATATTTTGGGATATTAAAAGCAACAGATAACACAACACTGTCAAATGTCTTAATTACGGATAAGGTATTATTGAACTGACAAAATATTATTCGACAAGATAAACTTATGAATGCTCGTATCTAGATTTAGTAAATTGTGCGAATTTGTATGAGCTTGCAGATTGCAGCTACAGCGGTGTTTCTTGTCTCAAAAATTGTAATGCATTAAATGGTTTGAAAGTTTGAAGTTCTCCAGCATTTCCCAAAAGTGAATCACAAATCACTCACAACACTGCGCAGATCGTAACTCGAAGTAATAATATATGAACGCTGCAGCCCAGCTGCTTTTCCTGATTAGAGATGATTATAACTCTGATTTATTTTAGATACAACTACAGCCTAATCTGAGCCTATAGGTACAGTATGTTGTAAGTAGTACAAATACGAGCTTGCAAACTATTCCACAGTAGAATTTAGCCATCATATCTTTGGACATAGCGATAGCTGGTTTATAATCTAAAATGTAAAAGCGGGCTTTGTTACAGAGGATGCATATTTGGATAACTATAGACTACTCCGCATCGTTTAAAAATCGCATCTTTTAATTGCGAATTTTTACAGGCTAATGAAAAAGGTACTGCAGCGCAAAGACGTACGTACGTACAGGTTTGCATTATACAATAGATCAATTGTCAAGAGCGCTTGGATTATAAGACACATCGCATAATGGAAAGTATTGACAGTATTTACCGGCCGGTATGAGAAATGATGACATCCCGACGACAGTGTGATCGTTGGTCAACAGGTCGTAGCACGTACTATGCAAATGTACAGCCTGTGAACCACAACTGCCGAGAATCTGTTTGGCCGTTCATCGACCATCGGCGCCGTAAGAAGATCACGGCAAACGATGTGTTATGCCCAGAGAGCAGACAGGCTTCTTTGTGACGAAGTAAACGTCTAAACGAACACGCTGTCTTCGTCGTCGCTTGATTTTTGCACCACCTATATAAGCGTAGCGGAAATGCACAGACAGTATCAACATCTTTTAAGCTTCAGCTTCCTTAAGAAAATCTAATCCTTTAAACCATGGCGTTCATCGCATCCATCGGTGCCGTTCTCAGTGTGATAGTGGTCGCGGTGGCGGCGCAGTATGCTGTGAGCAATAATCAGTATGGGATACAGTATGCCAGTGGATATAATAACGGTGGCGGTGGATTATATGGAGGCGGGGGATTCAGTTCCCTGGGATCGGGATATGGGTCCGGCGGATTAGTTAGCGGCGGATATGGCGGTTCCGGTTACAGCAGCGGCGGTTACGGTGGCAACAGTGGTGGTTATGGCGGTAACAGCGGAGGATACGGGGGTAACAGTGGTGGATACGGAGGTAGCAGCGGCGGATATGGCGGTAGCAGTGGCGGCTATGGCGGTAACAGCGGGGGTTATGGAGGTAACAACGGCTATGGTGGGTCGAGCCTAAATACCGGATACGGTGGATCCGGATACAGCAGCGGAGGATCGGGATACAGCAGCGGTGGATACGGTGGCGGTCTGAGCAGCGGTTACGGAAGCGGCATGTCGGGTGGGTACGGAGGTGGTCTGTCCAGTGGCTACGGAAGCGGATTATCTAGCGGCTATGGAGGTGGTCTCTCCAGTGGTTATGGAAGCGGCCTGTCTGGTGGATACGGAGGTGGTTTGTCGAGCGGTTATGGCAGTGGTCTGTCATCGGGTGGATATGGAGGCGGTCTCTCCTCCGGTGGATACGGTGGCGGTTACAACAGTGGCTCCAGCTATGGAGGCGGACTCTCCGGTGGTTACGGTGGATCGAGCTACAACTCCGGCGGCTACGGAGGTGGACTGTCTAGCGGATATGGTAACAGCGGAGGATACGGACAGACTAGCCTGTCTGGATCTTACTATGGCAAGAAATAATGTTTCACTCAATGTCTTTCCGATACCGGTGCCATTTTCCTGTGAGCGCGTATACTCATACAGTAATTTATTTTACTTGCACATGTTTTTTCTTCTTCATTTTGGATGTGATGGAGCCGTTTTTTAAAGAAGGTGATGAATATGATGTTGGTTTTGTCAGAAAGTCTTCATTAAATAAATCCATACGTATAAATAATTTTGAGTAAATTTTTCGGAGCACAATTATACTAAAACGACCGACCCGCGGCCGCAGGTATCGTTAAACAGGCTAACTAACACGTAAAGGAGCAAAATTAACAACAGCTTGAAAGAGTAAAATCTATTAAATTTTTGTAAAGAGCTTAGAATCAGAAGTATCGATTTTTTTATCCGGAAGGACATGGGTTGTTTTGCATAGGAGGTTGACCAAAATTCCCTTGGTTATTCGGTCGTTGACCGTTTCCGTTACCATTGGCGTAACCGTTTCCATTGCCATTCGCATAGCCATTCCCGTTTCCGTTTCCGTTAAACTGTTGTGGTTGGTTGTAACCTTGTTGATTATTCATATAATTCTGCCCGTTACCATTGCGATAACCGTTACCATTCCCGTTACCGCTTCCATTGCCGTTGAATCCGCGCCCGTAACCTTGTCCGTTGCCGTTTTGCGGACGATTCTCGAAGAATTCCGTGAAGGGTTTCCCGCTGCCCTGCAGACCGACTTGGTTGCGGTTCTGCTGCAGTTTCCACTGTTCGCAAGGGGAGAGGGGTGGGGCTTGTGGGCCTTGATTCTGATTGGGCCGGAACTGGGGCTGTTGGTGGCCATTACCATTTCCGTTGCCATTACCGTTACCGTTTTGGTGGAAGTTCTGCTGGTTGTTAGGACGGAAATTCTGTTTTTGTTGGAAGTTCTGCGGCACGGCGTTCAGTTGTTGACCCTCGAACTGCCGGAACTGTTTTTGGTTCGGATTAAAGTTTTGGCTGGGATAAGAGTTGGATAGCTGCTGGGCGTATTGGCCGTTGTTCGGGGGCGGTTGGTTAGACCGCTGGTTGTTGAAATTGTTGGGTGCCGGCTGGTTGGGTACAGTGTTCTCCACGCAGTCGGGTTTATTCTGCTGCTGACCTTGGCCATTCTACATGAAAAACCCGCTAATAAAACTAATAGTTTGTAAATTTAATAATCATTTGGTACATATGCGGCGATTTAGCAGTTAATTTGTATCCGAAAGCGTGAATGTACTTTACATACAGTACTCACGTTGAGTAGTATGGACCGTAGTTGCACTCGTACCGGGTTGGTCATTATTATTACATAAATCATTAATTACGGCAGATGTCTACTACAGTGTATCTACTCTGTACACGTAGATACGGGCTCTACGGGTACTAGCATTTGCCGTTGTTTGGAACTTATTGTGATACACCGCCATAAATTATGCTCATAAGTCACAGGTAGAACTAAAACGTATTGCTGAACCGGTTCATAAAAACCAAACAATCAGTATAAAATTTAAGCGTTAAAACTTGAGTACTAAGCAGCGCCAGTATGTACTCATACTGAAGCTGGATGTTTCGCCAAAAACGATTAGCCGATTAAAAATTCCGTTGCGGATATCAGCAGTTCAGAACAATCTCATTATATCAAAGACCATGTCTCTTAAAATTATAATCATGCCAAATTCCAAAACTAAGATGGAACTCTGCAGCTATAGAAGCAGTTTACAACAGTTAGTGCAAAAGAATTTTAGACGAATTTTATACAGCTAAGTTACGAATTTATACCTGAAAATTTCCATGCCATCCACCGGCCAGCGTAGGTGCAACTGAAATAAAATAAGGTTTAATTTTGGGAAAACTAAGATTTATACTGTCGGTTTTTACAGAAAGGAGTAAAATTCTGTCTAAAGACTATTGCTAGTAATTAATTTGATTTTATTATGGTAAAATTCATACAATCTGTGATTCCAGTTTCCTTTGCATTTGCTCAGATTTTTTATGGCTCATTAATTAAGTGCAAGCCGCATTACGAAAACGGGCATAGTTTTAAATCAACAGAGACTGCGGTATAATCCACTTACCCAGGACGGTTGTTAATAATAAAAACCGCAAAAATTCCATATTTTTGTATTTGTGAAATAGACAAATCGTCTAGTCCGGCCGGTATCCCCACTGCGCAACTAGATAACGACTGAAAACTATGTGACTGGCAAACCGGGGCTTTTAAGAAGTGTACGTTTTTCAACTTATTTTCCACGGCATTCTGTACGTGCTTTCGTAGCGAAATGCACATTTTTGCTAGAAATGCTAAATGCAAAAATATGAAATGAAATTCTACACCTCCCCCGCACTCGTATCGTTTAACTGCAGTATGAAATGTTAAAAATTATCAGCTAAGCTGGAAATATCAAGTGGCATTGTTTCCGCTGTAAACTGCCAATTTCTTATGTAATTTTTTGTGGTGCACAGGTTTTATGTCGGGCGACTGCGCATATATTGTATATATATACAGAGTAGTTTCAAACCTCAACGTACTGTTAATCGACAAAAATAATAACCAACGCAACCTCAGTTAAATTAAAAATGATTCAAACCCAAGCAATTTATTATTCCAGTTTAATAATTAGGAATTTAGTAACCTATTATATGTATTTTTCCTCAGTAATTTATTGCTCTTCATTTACCATATTATTGTGTTTAATTAATATTTCCACTTTTCACGAACATGATTAATACAGATTACTGGCCACCGATTTCAATTTTTATCAGAAACAATTTATTTCACTTGAAACGACCGTTTCAAACAAGCAACAAGGCACTTACAAGAAAATACAATAAAAGGAAAATTCAACAAAATTAATACAGATCCATTAAAAGCTAAAACAAATAAAATACAGTAAAAACAGGAAGCTAGCTGCCGATATTAATTTCACAGGTATGAACAGCAATAATCGGGACAACCGCACTGAAAACATAAAAAACCTAAAAAACCTAAAATAATCTACCGTAATTTGGCAACTATTAACTGCACTCCAGAGAGGAAGAATTTGGGACGATGATAGGCTTCTCCATAATTTTTATTCATGATCCGCAGCTCCTAGTACTGCTTCCGTTTGATCCCGACGACTTGGCTCAGTTCGTAGTCGTGTTCCTCGCTGAGAAATACCAACGCCATGCACGATCCCACAAACGCCAAAAACATATCCCACTGAGCGTCGTACCTATCAATAATGAAGAAATACTCATCAAAACTGAACACTGTGCCCACTTGTAGACAGCACAACGAATATATATTCTTTTTATACTTATTTTTTAAGTGCTTAAAATTATTACACATTCAAGTTGTGTGATTCAACGCTCATATTTTGGCCGATGGCTTCTCAAACAAAAATTTCCTGGTTTCGTATGATCGTAATTTTATTTAACATTTCGCTAATCAACAGCTTCCGTTTCAGATTTTACCCTTAATGAATTAACTGTGGAATTAAAATTAAATGTAAGTACTCCGCAATTTGGAGTATTTACAAAGAAACCGCAAATGCAACATAATCAAGAGTGACACGAATCCAACACAACATGTACACTGATTATGTATGTACTACGTAGTTCAATAAGAGTTATAAAAATTTTCTGATGCCTACAACAAACACGAATTTGTTGCACAAAGTCAAAAAAATTCACCAAAACTAAAACCTTATAAAAACCAAATTCACCAAAACTTAAAATTAATAAAAACGAGCAACTTAACGGAAACTGTCTAACTGCTACAAAAAACACTCGCATATATCCAGAAGTATTCAGGTTTTCAGCAAAATCAAATAACTTTCCGGTTAAATTACCAGAACACTATTTCGACAAGAAATCTTCGACGAAAAACACTCGGAAAAAGAAGCAAAACAAATAAAAAAGTGCGAAATAAGTAAGCAAAAAGAAGCGAAATACAAGTACTGTAAAGAATAACATTCTGCAATTAATAAAAACTAACCAGTAGATAACGCAAACCTGATATAAAAAACTTATAAAGACAGGCGTGCATCAAACGTTTAAAATATGCACCGGAACAAGCACTAAATAAATTAAGGAGCATAAATTTTCAGAACGAAAACCAAAATAAATGGGTAAAAATAAGTACATAAACGAAATAAACAACGAAAAGGTAAGTTAACAACTAATACTAACTAAACACACATGCGGATCAAATATTCCGTAATAAGATCCAAAATAAATGAAAAATTACTCAAAATAATATAAACATTTCAGAAAGAAGAAAAAATTAAAGAAGTTATCAACCAAAACAAAGAAATAAACGCAAAAACAATGCGATACTTATTATCGCAGTCCAATTCAGAATCAGGTACTTAGTACGTACATGTCTCCCTGGGCGCCCATGAAATCCCCGGAGTTATCCAGCTTGAACGCCACCGCCCACCATTCCAGTACTTCATAATACGCACTGAAAGCCAGGCAGACGCAGACGACGATAAACGACAGCCAGAAGCCGTGTCGCACCACTCCCTTGCGCAGTAGCACCTCCCGCGCCAAAATGGCCGGGACAAATCCCTGGAAGAAATGCCCGATCCGATCGTAGTGATTGCGCTTCAGGAAGAACGTGCGCTGCAGCCACAGCCCAAAGGGAACACGGGAGTAGGTGTAGTGGGCTCCCACCAGCAGCATACTGGACCCCAGGAACAGCAGACGATACAGTAATGGAGTGAAGCGGAATTTCTTGAAGTAGAAAGCGATGAAGGGGATCCCCAGGAGGACGGGGGCGGCCTCTAGCACCCAGATCTTGGCGTCATGGCACCCGATGAAGGAGACCACGCAGCCCAGCAAAGTGAGGAAGAAGAGGATGCGCGGTTCGTAGGATTTGAGAAACTGCATGGGCATCGTGGAAGAATTAATATTATAATTCAGTGATTGCACTGTATTGCCAGGAGGAGATGGAAGATCAGAAAGGACTTGAATGGAGATTACGGATTACAAGTTCGACGTTTCCAGAATTTCGGAAAATCGTTTTAATATGAAATACACGAAAATATTACGAGCAATGCAGAGATCAAAGTCCAATGTGTCATGAAAAGCAGTGGAAAATGGGAATTTCCGATGTCAACTTTACGCAGTCGTCAGTGCCTGCTCAGACTCTGTTGTAGCGATATTCACGAGTCAATAGTACTGTATAGACACGCTGTGGCATAGATCTCATGGATTTCATGAAAAGTGACAAAGGAATAAATTCACGATTCACGAGAATTAAAAACGAAAATATAACTAGTAGATACTTAAATGCTTTAAGTTTTAAAAATGATCAATACTAATTTGTTCATGCTCTTAATTTCTTAAATTCTAATTCGGATATTGCTGCTAGTAGGCTGTAAACAACTCGTCACTCGAGTGTAAAACAGAGAGTATACCGGTTGCGCGCTTTTATACATCGCTATGTACAAACTACAAACTAACAAACTACAAAGTACACACTCAAACGTGTACAGTAGACAGAACTTCAACTTTCATTTCCATGAAACTCATTGCGCGCCATAAAAATTCCAAGACAAGGCTTCTAGACTTCTACAGTCGGCCGTCGTTCATTGTTTTTTCGATCGAGTGGGCGTGGGACGGTTTGGTAGTCCAGATCGGGAATCTTGCAGCGCTGGATTAGCCAATGGCATAGTAGCCGGTGAAAACACGGCGCTGCCGTGATCCCCTTGTGTGCCAGCATGGCTCATCCTGTAAGCAAAACTTTTAGCGCATTCTTGTTATCAAATCAGAGATCATCTCCAGGCGCTGATTTTTACGAAGCGATAACGAACGCACGTCGATAGGTCTGAAAATTCAGGAAAAAACTTTCTCGAAAAATAACATCGCTGAATTCGGCAGCATCTGAAATTTACACACTGTACTTCGAAACTGACTCGTGAGGTGGACTAAACAAGTTTTCCAATACTTACAAGTACCGCTCATTTAACATTTACCTAATTAGCTTTAATAATGCACTATTATTGCGATATTCACTGGTACAGTCCCTATTATCTGCAAGACTGTAAGTTTAAATAAGTTTTCTAATAAGGTACTGTTTTACTAGAACGATTATTAAATTTTGATAAATAACAGTACGACTAACGTAGTAACCTGGAAAACGGGCCCGATGGTATTAGCCAACAGACGCTTTAAAAATCTTGGAAATGTTCGATCTGTATATCGGCAGACGCCATTCTCTAAAAACAAGGAAAATGAAAATGTTACTTTATCATAGAATTTTTAACTGGCTAGTAATTTCGAAAAAACTGCAGTACGAGTACATTAAGTAGTACATAATTGTTCAAAGATTGTGGTGCCTGCCGTTAAAACTAAATTAAAGGCGCCTTGGAGATGCAGTATAAGTTGTACTCGTATGTTCGTAGTGCATTTGAAACAGACTACTCTGTATACAGAGGATATGCATAATTTTTTAATATTCATATTCATTCCTATGCACCACGGTATTTTCGCAAAAAGTTGAACACATCAAACAGTACTACAGTATATTCGAATACTTAAGTCTACAACAGCCTAAATATGTACCCGTGGGCCAGCGATCCCGCAACAGCGGCACTGCTGGCGGCTGCGCCGGCTCCACCACCGCCTCCGAAATTACGGACGTAACGTTGGGAGTTGTTATGGGTTTCTGTGGCTGGGAAATGTGGGGATTCCGAAGTTAAAACGCTTGTTGTACACATGAGAATCAACGCCAGGAGGAAGGGAGTCGAACAATGCATTCTGATAATTATTTGTCTAGATAATCTACAAGCAAATATCGACACACAGTTTCCAGAAAGGTGGTGCAGCTCTCGGCAGTCAAAGGAAGAAACTCTGTTCCTCTAAATGAAATTACAAAATAAATGCACGGAACTGTTAACATCAAATTGACATGCGGTCGGATATCTACCCAGACGAACTTTCATTACTAATGTAAGTTATTATGTAACTAATGGCAGTACTCAACAGCAGGGTAGTAGCGTATACTTCGAAATATTTATATAAGAAGCATGTACTGATCAACGGACACAAGACGTGATAATTAAATGCACAAATCGGTTACAGTGCCGTACTTGTACTGCAGATGAGATGGCTCAATGATGATTATTATATAATGCTGTGACCTTTGAACCGGCACTGCTACAGAACTCGGTATAACTGCAGTCTGCAGACTGTTGTACATATATTCTATGTTAAACATAAAATTAAATACTCTTAAGTACGTAGCTATCGTTACCGATGGCCAACATTATAATTATCGTAAATAAATGTTTCCATATAGCAAACATTTGTGTGTGGATCAACACTGCTACAGTACATCTAGTTCCAGAAGAAAAATTATTCCCGGTGCAGTGCTGTAATCGAAGCAAGTACAGTATTAGCTGGAAAAAATACTGTAGGTATTTGGCCAACAGCATAATACAGTAATATTAGTTAGCTTTTTGTTAATCAATTTCTACATTGTCAAGCTTTAGGTCAGCAGCTATTACGGAGCACGTACATAACCGATGCCCATATATACACCGCATAATATTACCATGTGGACTAGCGTCCAGACAAAAGTATTATCCTGGTTTTATTATACCTAGATAGTACAGGAATGATAGGTAAGTCGTACAATTAATTACAGCCTTTTCACAAACACACCGTGGAACACAGCACATTGCCGTTTTTAATTAGCACAAATTCAAAGGAAAAAAGAAGTGCTATAAAGTCTGCCAAACAAATTTTTCGCTCGTTGCCTTGTTAGTAAATTAAAAGCTAATGTTAATTAACTGTCATTATGCGCGCGGTTTCTAATACAGGCGGAAATTTGAGAAAGTGCGTCGCTGTATAATTAGGTGTCCGACCACGTCCAACGGGAGCGCTGACGTGCTTGATCAACTTGGACTTCCGTATTGGCAGATATAACCTGCTTCGGTTGATCGGTTGAGTTACTTGCTTGAACAACACTAAAACAATAGCGAGATGCGTGTAGGTTTTCGTACAGCGAGATGCGGCCTTTGCCGAAAAACGAAGTTTGTAGTGCAAATAAATCGGACGCTGTGCATGCGCAAACACAGGTATATACCCCATTAAATGCTACGAAATTAATGCTGCTTAATTAGCACAAAAAACGGCAAACTTTTACATGCTCAAGAGAATCGTTGGATAAAATCATTGCATATTCCGCGTATATGTATTCCAGTGTATAAATGTGTTCCACCTTTCAAAGCTTTCGAAATTTATTACAAAGGTCAATTACAGTAGCAGCTTGAGAATGCCGATATTTTGGTGCTCTTAATTCCCATACCGAGGATGTATTGTTACCTGTGACCCGCTGACACGGTGAAACGCTCGGCTGGGACCGAGAAGTTGGCATCTGCTCCTGATGACAAATCTGAATTGGCCGGCATTGCCGTAACGTGCCATAATACAGTCAGGCCACTTATAAAAAGAACTGTCGCTTTTCCGAACTGCATTTTCAAAAACAATTAATGACACTGTCCAGTTCTAAAGATTGCACACAGTTGCTAATTAGCCTGACCTATAATTGAACAGCTAGAAAATGTTTAAGCCGAATGCCTTTACTGCTTAATAAACTCGCGGTAAGCTTGAGTGATATAATGTACACTAATGTATGATTAAGTACTTATATATTGTGGCATATTAACACATTTGGGATTTTCCACCGGAAGTCGATCCTTGTCAGCTTACTACTTACGGTACAAACCACAAGCGTGATCTGCGTTTCAGTAGCGATTAGGGGCCTTATGGCTGGCGAAATTAAGGTAGGCGCTGACCATAATGATGTGAAGTGTGTGAATTTTACCCATTATCGCTGCACTTGCAAACAATCACCAAATTTAATTTTATTCTTTTTGAAATTTATAATACGTACAGTACGAGTATATGCGTTAGCAACAAATCAGCCCATATCCGTGCATGCATGAGAGACTTGAAAGAGATATAACGTATTCTTCATGTAATTTCTATTCCTAAACTACTCAAAATTTACTTCCGGTCATGCATTGGGGCGCCCGGCTGCCGCTTTGTAATCGAAACACGGACGCATATTTTGAACTAACTGACCGTGCGCACGATATGCCGGGATGCGTCTCACTCACCTGAGCTTCTCGGAAAATTACAACTCTCTATGGCACGTGTGTTGCTCCGCAGAAGGAAAAAATACCGCTACAGACGATTTTCTTCCTAATATTCCTATAAGTCGTGCAATTGCATTTTACTTACTAGAAAGAAACACCACGATAGTAGTCAAGTTAATGGCAACAGCGGATGATTGCTGTTTTTGTATTTATTTTGTTTTTGTATTTTTATGCGATGGTTAGTACAGCCTTGCTGGGGTCGCTTTGCTTATTTCCGAATGTGGGCCGGCAGTTTGAAAACGTTGGTGATGCAGGGTGTTTAAATAGCAAAATGTTTGAAACTGACCTATGTTTTCAAATACCATAATACTGTATCCATTAGTGTCCCGGTCTTATTGCAAGGCCTGCCGGAGGTGACCGTATTATGGGAGGCTGTATTGTAAGGGAAGGGGAGGAGGGGATACGAGGGTGTGGAATTTCATCGTTGATTGCTTAGATCCTTAAAAATCACAGGGCTATCAGACAGGACACTACCGAGTCTATGAACACCTTGACAAACGTGAAACGGCGCACTTATTTGGAACGAATTCACACAGTGTGACATAATACACGCACCGGGTGTACAGAGTACTACTACCAACCTGACCGCAATCAGCAGAGAAGGAACTCTGGAGATTGGTGTTGCCTTGTTGCCAACTTCCGTAGACAACAGTGTACTACACGATCTTACCACACCACACTACACCACACTACACTACACCACAGGAATACCGACACAGTAACTTCCACCTAGGTACACACTACTGCTTTCCCTAAGCGAAGGTCACTGACAGCACAAACACCAAAACAGGATCGCAATGTTAATGTTACTAGCGTTACTCACTTTATTCTTACTGATGTTCGCTCAACACAAGTCAAACACACACTGGCCGATGCTAGCCGACGACGAAGCGCAACTTTCGATCGAAGGCTACCGATAAGAACACGAATGCAATACGTCATCGCTAGTACAACAGGAAACACACGTACATGCGCACCGTAAACTTGTAAAAGTTAGAACATAATACCAACTATGTCAAGTGATACAAATATTTCCTGTGTAAAGATTCCCAGGGCACAATTTCAAAGTTGAAACGTGGATCTGTAGCTTCCGAAGGAGAAGAGTGATGTATTGCGGGGCGGGGGTCACACTTTGCTAAAATTTAATACCGTATAGGAACCGTAAAATTACAAATTAAAAAATAATAATTTTATAATTTATCATGATCGCAGTATGCAGTATGCAAACAAGATAAAAAAGTGAAGAATCGTGTAACATGGCGGTTTAAGCAGTTTCCAGCTGTCGGCTTCAGATGTGAAAAACTCCTTCGGAACGCTTCCTACGGAAGCCTTACGCAGGCGCGTGGATTGATTAAGAATAAATGCGAAAAAAACCAAAATACTAGCAGCCGTGCAAGAGAATTTCGGTGTGCGTAATGAAAATTTGAATTTCATTAATGCTAGTCAAATCGGAACAATGCGTTATCTGCGACTCTGCGTACGAGTTGTCCAGTTCTAACGTGGAATTTCTAGAATTTGGGAATGTCTGAACTATTCTGATGTACAGCAATACGTTTTCTTGACCTGCATTCCTTTTCATATTCTAGTGCTCAGCCTGGACACTGCATTCTTGTCCTGGGAAACGAGCAATTAAGTGTTCTTGTTCAGTGATTTTTTTCTGAGCGCCGATACATAGAATGGAGAATGAGGAGAGTCATCCACTGATACTATCATAATTATTACAAAACGAATGCAAGCCTGCTGCCCTACGATTGTGTGATTGCTGTTGGAATACCGACAGTCTATATAGTTCAGCTTTGCGATACATGTACAGCATCTCTTCGAATGGGAATCCGACAGAGAATCGGCAACAGAACAGGCAGGATTGAGGCTAACCTTTAGTGTCCTTTACTTTTCATCTTTTCCCCGTTAGAGGATAGACAGACGCAAAAGCTCAGAACAGACAGAATCATCCTGACCTTTCAGTAACCTTTCAGTTACACGTTGGATCCTGTACTATAATATAATATATAGACAGACTACGTCTGCCATATGTTATATTAGGCTTGCCCGTTTCAACCGTGCAGCGCCTGCGTAAAATATCGAAGTATGTACTAGGTTAGTGTTAAGATTTAAGTTTTAACCATACTTTATGGAATGCGCTACGTCGTCCGTTCTAAGTTTGTAACTCTGATTTCGTTGAGTCTTCCGCAATCAAGTCTTCACTCCGCCGATGAACAAAGCGAGTGTGCGTCTCGGTGACCCAGCGGTGGTGCGTTTCCATATATGTACAATGTACGACAAAAAGAGGTTGCACCGATCAGTCGGTCCGCGGTTCAAAATAACCTCGCAACGACACGCCACCACTAAAACTTGGACGCTTACTCACTACTTTCAGATGCTCGCGCTACGTGAATATCAAAGTGCAGCTATACTAGTTGCATATCAAAAGGTGTAGAAAAAAATTTAAAACTTTTTGATACTAAACCTGTGGCTGTTTGTGGTGAACAGCACAAATTCTAGCCATTTTGCTTTCCCATAGACTTAAGCATTGACTGCAAGCCAAACGGTTATGCGCACAGATCCTATGCTGTGCCTACGAGAAAACAAAATGGCTAGAATTTGTGCTGTTCGCCATAAACAGCCACAGGTTTAGTATCAAAAAGTTTTAAATTTTTTTCTACACCTTTTGATATGCAACTAGTATAGCTGCACTTTGATATTCACGGAGGGCGAGCGTCTGAAAGTAGTGAGTAAGCGTCCAAGTTTTAGTGGTGGCGTGTCGTTGCGAGGTTATTTTGAACCGCGGACCGACTGATCAGTTCAACCTCTTTTTGTCGTACATTGTACGTACTGCCAGAGTTACTGTCCGATCGGTTCTTCTGCCGCAAGGGACGCGTA